TGAGTCAATTCTTCGCATCAGGTGGCCAAAGTATTGGAGTTTCAGCTTCAACATCAGTCCTTCCAATGAAGTTCATTTGGGGGTAGTGCAAATATTCTGGAATTAGATAGTGGTGATGGTGGCTCAGTGGTAAAGAATCTGCCTGCCAATATAGGAGACGCAGGAGACATGGATTCAATCCCTGAGTTGGGAAGATCTTCTGGAGGAGGGCATGGAAACACACTCCAGTATTCTTGCCTGGAAAATCCCATGGACAGAGGAGCCTGGCGGGCTACAGTCCATGGAGTCGCAAAAAGTTGGACACGATTGAGCACAATGGTTACACAACTTTGTGATTATACTGAAAACCACCAACTTGCATATTTTGAAAGGATGAATGTTATGACATGGGAAATCCATCTCAAAACAAAAGTTCAATTGGGCCAAACTGAACGCCTCAACTCCTCACAGAACTTGCTTCTCTGGTGCCTTCATCCTGCAGGAAAGAACTGTACCTACCCCAGCCTCCAGGCTCACAGCCTGGACATGGTGACGCTCACGCCCCCTCCTCTGCCTCATGTTCATATTCTTTGCATCCCTCCATCCTTCCTGTCTCCCCTTGGCTTTCACCAAAAGACCCAGAGAACTTTTTGTAGGGGGAGGGGCTGAGACACAAGATGAGCTGGATCAGACTCCAGGGCAGCTCTGACGTGGGACAGGGAGGACAGGTTGTGCGGTTGGTGATACAGGGTGTAACCTTGGGCCACGTACTATCAAGCAGGCAGAGCATCCTTGGGGAGGGCCCAGACCAGACTCCAAGCCAAGGAAGGATTGTGTTCAGAGCTGCAGCCCACACTGGGGGCTCAGGAGTTAATCAACATGCAGACGAGTCAAGCTGATGATTTATGTCTTTAAATGTTTTGAACGAGTTGCCAGCCTCTAAAAATGAAGAGATGTTCCTTTCACCCATAAATTCCAGTTTCCTACTGCTCTTGAGAAGCCAGGAACTCTGGCCATGCCGGTCATGTTGCTCAGAGCTGCAGTGGTGGGCAGAAGAGGCTGAAGAGGCCCCAGCGCGGGGCCCGCGGGATGATGACCTGTCTTCCTTGCTCACTGCTTCTTCCTTGGCCTCACCTTCTCCTGTCATCACTGCTGCTTCTTCTCGGATGTCCTGCCTCTGACTGCCCCACTCTGCACCAGCACCTGCTTGTCCTGGGCCTTCCCCTGTTAGACATCCTCCCATGGCCCCCCACCACATACAGAAAAAAGCCCATGCTCCTCAGCTCAGCGTTGAGAGGTCTGAGCCAGTGGCCCTGCTTGCTCCTCCCTCCCCTCTCCCTTGGCTCCATTCATGCTCCCCCAGCCTAGTCCTAGTGACGCTTTTGCTGTTCCCTCCCTGCCCCAGGACCTTTGATCACATTCTGCTTTCCTGCAGAAGTGCCTGGACTGAGGTGGGTACTCAACCAGGCTCCACCAATCAGGATACTCCCTTTCCTTGGCCACAATGATTGGTTCTGAGATGAGCACATGACCCAACCCCAGCCAATAAGAGTTGGACCTGGGACTTGACTGGAACTCTGGAGGAGGAGATCAGAGTTGTGCCCCAGGGCTGCTGGTGGCCTTTTTTTCTCTCTCTCCCCTTGTCCACCCTGTACCCCACCTCTATCCCAGGGAATCTGATACAGCCCTAGATACAGCCCTGTAGAAGTGTCCTCAGATACCTCTTTCCCAGGGATAATTCATATCTCTCCTTATCTCTGATAGGTGCACTCCGGGATCAGAGGCATGTGGCTTCAAGTGCTCCATATAGGGGCACACAGAAGGCCCATGGGAAAGCCAGGAGCAAGATTGCCTGGACTACAGCCTCCTGGCGTTTGCTTAAGCCTGGTTCTATCACTGTGTCACCTCCTCCAGAAGCCTTCCCAGACTTCCCTTCCCACGTGGCATTCACAAATCCCCTTGAGACCCACCTGTGTGTGCAGCCGGACCTCTCTCCTTCCCTGACCAGAGCACACCAGACAGGGACATGTCCCAGCATACCCCATGTATGGACCTGCGAGGTCATGAATGACAGCCCACTGCCTGCACACCTCCAGTATGGAGAGCTCATCACCTCTCAGGAGACAGCTCTAACTGTAAATTAACTGCCTGAATTTTTAAAAATTATTCCTGTATTTATTTATTTTTGTCTGCACTAGGTCTTTGTTGCTGCGTGCAGGATTTCTCTAGTTGCAGTGAGCGGGAGCTACTCTCTAGCTGCGGTGCTGGGCTTCTCATTGCTGTGGCTTCTCTTGTTGTGAAGCACAGCCTCTAAGGCTCGCAGACTTCAGTAGCTGCAGCTCACAGGCTCTAGAGTGCAGGCTCAGTAATTGCAGCACAGGAGCTTAGTTGCCCCAAGGCATCTTCCCGAACTAGGGACTGAGCCCGTTTCCCCTCACTGGCGGGTGAATTCTTAACCACTGGACCATCAGAGAAGTTCTAACCGTCTTACCATGCTCAATCGCCCAGTCATGTCTGACTCTTTGCAGCCCACCAGGCTCCTCTGTCCATGGAATTCTCCAGGCAAGGATACTGGAGTGGGTTGTCATTTTCTCCTCCAGGGGGTCTTCCCAACACAGGGATTGAACCCCGGTCTCCTGCATTACAATAGGTTCTTTTCTGTCTGAACTACCAGGGGAGGTTGGGAGGTGGGAGTAATTAAAGAAAGGCCATCCCTCCTCAGGAAAGAGCAAACTGTTGAGCCTTCAGGCAACGTCTTTAGAGGGTCCCCCAACCCCTGCTCCGTGGAACAGTTGAGAAACCGACACCTCAGATTGTGAGACCAAGTGCAGCAGGGGTTTGGTCAATGGCTGCGGGCGCCTGGCTGAGCGGTCAGTGCAGTGATGGGAAGTGGCCGGATGAGGGCGCCAGAGACAGCAGGAGTCGAAGCCCCAGCCAGAGTTTGAGGGTCAGGTTAGGGGGTGTTTCGAAGGGACCCTGCCTTCCTCCGCTTTGTGACTTGGGCAGGTCCGTGCCCTTCTCTGAGCATGCTTCCTTTCCAGGATTTCAAGGCTGACTTTGGAGCCACACGGCTGGATTCAGGTCCTGATCCTGCCTCTTTGTAGCTGTGAGAACCTGGCTAAGTCAGTGTCTGAGTCCTAGCAACCCTAAGGAGTCCGCGTCCATTGAGTGTACCGACTGGGGAGGTCCCCGTCCCTGGAGACATGTGTTCAGCACCGGGTGGCGCCCTGGGGCATACGCTGCAGCCGAGGCTGGGTTGGAGGACTGTCTCCTTTCCCTCTGACAGTCTGTGACCAGCACATGGCGCTGCTCGCAGTGCTGACCCGGAAGCAGAAACGGAACCACGGGGGCTGCAGTGAGGACAACATTCTCCTGGCCTCTTGGGGCGAGGGGTCGACTGGGCCAGGCTGGGCAACCCGTCCCTTCCCTGGAGGGTCAGGAGTGTGGCTAACGGTGGACACACATCGGTCCCCCGTTAGAAGGGTTCTCCCTCGTGAGGCGGGAGAGGAGGAGGCCGGGGATCAGGAGGCCCCGGTTCAAAGTGGGACTGGCTGCTGACTTGCTGCGTGACCTGGAAACCCCACTGCTCCCCTCTGAGTCCGTTTCCCTCACAAGCTCAGTGACACTGCAGATATCAAATTGGTTTGTGGACAGAAGGCCGAGGCCGAAAGGTCTCGGGAGGCTGGTCTGTGGCCGTACTCCACCTGCACGGTTCTGAGATCTGGGGGGCCGGATGGAGCCAGGGGGAGGCTGCTTCGCATGATAAAGGCCCTGGGGGAATCAGGACTATGTGGTCGCCATTTGGCCTCCTGGTCAGCCCGCCCTGGTTTGGTCTCACGGCAAAAATGGGGATGTGGAGACCAGAGGGGCAGGGTTACTGGTGCCCCAGACCCCCCAGCAGGGGCTGAACCCCCTTCAGTGGCCCTGGGGCCTCCAGGAGCCCTCTGTGGGGTCACTGTAAGTGCACCTGCTCCCCCCAAAACACACCAGGGCACTCAGTTCCAGAGACACACCTAGCAGCCACACCCGATGAGCAGGTGTCCAGACACGTGAAGGCACATACACTCCACGCAGAGCTCTGGGTATGACACACACGCTCCACACCCCACACATGTGATCACACCAGCACCTGCTGAGGCAGCCAGGAAGGTGGCCTTTGCGTGGGCCCCAGAACAGCAGCCCATAGGTGAGTCCCACCTACTTCTGCTCCTGCAGCCCTGGGAGGGTGGGATAGGTCCCATGATGCCCAGAAAGGGGCTGTCATCCCCGGGGCCAGAACCAACCTCCAACCTTGGTGGGACATGGCACCTTTAAGGCACCAGGTGTTCTGAACCTGCAGGTGTCTCTGCTCAGAGTCTCAAGCAGCCCAGGACGCCTCTAGTTCAGGCAGGCAGATGGGAGCAGGGTCTATCCCACCCTGGCTTATAAGGCACGGCACTGCCTCCATCCCTCAGCAGCGCATTGGGAGGTCAGAGGTGGAAGGGCTCTGTGGGGCTGGCTGGGGCCTCCAGCGCCTCCCACCACCCGAGGGAACCGTTAGCCGTGAGTCAGTTCCTCAGAGCCCAATGGCTTAACCTCTTGTCCCCATATGATTGGGGGCAGGGCTGCCCCTCGCCCCCGCATCCCCATCTCAGCAGCGAGTTAGCAGTTTCCCGTTCCTTCTGAAAGGCACCGCAATGGTTTGTCAGGAGGGATGACAGCCATGGAGAAAAAGAGGGGCTCTCTGGGGGTCATGGCAGGTATCGCAGAGCCTGGAGGACAAGCCCAGGCTGGGGGCTGGTGGCAGGGGCGGCGGGGAGGGGGGTCCACACTCACCCAACGACATAGACCAGGACCACGAGCTGGATCAGGCGGAAGACGATGCCCACCTTCTTGTTGCGCACGAGCACCATCCGGGGGGTGTCGTACTCGAAGAAGAAGGCAGCCAGCTCATCCTGGAGCCGCTGCGCCATGGTGGCCAGGCTGGGGGCTGAGAACCGAGCCCCTTGCAAAGCCCTGGCTCCCCAGGGGTGAGCCAGGCGTCAACACTCACAGCGTCTACAGCGGCGAAGCTTCTGGGGGTTCCCCAGCTCCTCACAAACAGCAGGGTGGGGCAGGTGGGCCCAGAGGTCAGGAGTCAGAGGTTGGTTGGCAGCACTTGAGTTGGGTGGGAGCGTCCTTGGGTGGTCAGAGCTGCTCTTGGCCCCTGGCAGGCGATGGACTGTGGGCCAGCCGTGCCTGTGGACAAATAAATTCCCAAAGATAGATGGGGGCGGGGCTGGAGGGGGGCCACCCAGGCCCAGCCCCATTGCCCCTCCTGACTCCGCCTGGGCGGCCCTGCTGGGCCTCCGGAAACAGTAGTTGTTGGCAGGAAACCACGGGCCACCCGTCACAAGAAAAAGATAAAGCCGTCAGCCCCCCACAAACCTGGTAGAAGAGAGCTGGGGGCTCAGGCCAGGGCTTGGGTGGAGTGGCCTCTGGCTGAAGCCCTCCCCACACCAGGAACTCATCCTGTATCCAAACATCTTCCCTGCCCTCCCTCGGCCCCCAGGTGGAGCGCGCAGGCCCTGGGGCTCTGCAGTCAGGAGGGCAGAGAGGAAAGAAGGCTGCTTCCCGTCCGGCTCCCTGACACTTGCTGAGCTCGAGGCAGGACCCCCACCCTGACCTCCCAGACCCCCTTCCATCCATCCATCCCTCTGGATCTGAGCCTGGCCTGTGCCCAGTCAACTTCAGTGCTGGGCTGGCATCTCCGACCCCCCACTGATCCTGTCCTGGATTCACCTCCACGACCCTGAAACCAGCATTTCTGGGTACCTGGGCGCAGGTACCCAGACAGGATAAGGGCCACATCTATCACACGTCATGGTCGGGCTCCCCGAGCCCAGCTCTGAAAGCCTGACGTGAGATGGTCTCGGTGCCCACTCCCAGCTCTGCTGCCTGCTGAGGGGCCTGGTGCCTTGCCTCACCTCCCTTCCTCCTCTGTGAAACCGGGCGAGAGTGAGCTTTCTTCATAAGTCGACATCCCGGGGGTGGGTCCTGACAACACTGAGGACAGAGAGACAGGCGGCTCTTGAGCTTGGGGTACAGCTCCTTTGCGGCCCCTGCGCTTGCCCCCAGCCCAGGCTCTGAACGCAGGGGTCCCCGGGGGCTGGGCTGGATGGGGACAAGTCCTGTGCGGGCTCTCAGAACACCAGAGCTGGAAGCTTCTCCCCCAGCTCCCCCTCATTCTGCAGGTGAGGAAACCGGAGCTCAGAGAGGAGAAATGAATTGCCTAAGCTCACCCTGCAAGATACAGGAAGCCGCCGCAGGAAGCAGGAAGGACTCCCTGGCCCTCCCTCAGCCCAGGCAGGGGATCCCTCAGCCCCGCCCCTGACCCTGTCCAAGCTGCCCCACCCTGAAGTCTGGTAGGAGTCTTCTTCCTGGCGGGGCTGTAACTGGGAAATCACTCTGGGCCCGGAGCCAGGCCCCAGGGCTGGGAATCCCAGCCTCTTGTCTGGGTAGAGCGGCCTTCTGGACAGCAAGGAGCCCCCCAACTGAGGGCAGGCCTGCAGCCCCTTCCAGCCCACCCAGGCCAATCCCCCCATCAAACAGACCAGCCTCATCTTGCACAGAGCGCCCGCCAGTCTCAGGCTCAATTCTTGTCCAGTGATGCTACCTTCAAGAGGGCCTGGTGAGTACCACTTCCTGGGCTTTTCTAGGAAAATCCAGAGATGCTGGGGGGCAGAGCTGTGGTAGCCACATCCCTTTGGCCTGGTCTTGACCCCTAGACAAAAGGATCTGTCCTCTTCCCAGCTGACCTCATGGCCCTTGGACTAGCAGGCCCTGGACGTGAATTGTTTGCAACTGGAGGTGGGGTGGTGGATGCTGACACCGAGTCTGAACCATCTCAGGAGGGTTGCTGGGACTGGATGAGGGGTCATGGTGGGGGAAAGGAAGGGAGCAGAGAGGGAGATGAGAAAGGAAGGAGGAAAGGATGGGGGATGGAGGAAGGGAGGGAGGAAGGGAAGGAAGTCAGGCAGACCTTCTCCAACCTGTGTTTGTGCCTTTTACACCATCACCATGTTCTCCCTCTCCTCCTCCATCTCTTTCTCCCTCAAGGAGCCAGGCTTGCTGATGGACAGATGGACCCATGGACAGACAGATTTGCCTGGAGCACACACATGAACTCCTGTTACAGCCTCGGTTCTGACCCTGACCCTCAGAAAACAGGACGCCCTGGAGAACGGTCTCATTTGGGGGTGTTATCATAACCCTCGAAGAAACAAAAAGAAACAAAACAAGTTCTATTTCTTTCCCCAAATTCCTTTTCTTGTGAATAACTCTGCAGAGTAAGACAGGCAGCTGATAGAGTCAACGTCCCTTCACCGGTTCTAAAATGCATCTTTCCATCGAGGGCTGTGCTTTCCTACACTTAGCCCCAGCTTCAGCATCCCCAGGGACAGATAACCGTGTTCGTTCTAGACATCTTGGGGGTGAGGGAAGGCTGGAATGCTGCAGGCTTTTCTTTATAGCAGCCCTGCTTGGAGAATCAGCATTTTACAGGTAAGGCCACAGAGGCTCTGAAAGTTGAGTGCCTGGCCCACCGTCACACAGCGACTAGCTCCCATGTCTGCTGGTGGCCAGGAAGGAGGTTCCCCAAAGTCTGAGATCTTGGCCCAGAGCCCACCCCAAGACTCCAGCCCTTGAGAGCCGCCAGACCTGCCTTATAAGCCCAAAGGCCGGATGGCCGGCTCGGGCACTGGGCCGGGCCTTGTAGGGAGACAAGGCATTGCTGCCAAGTGCTCGGCCCCAGGATGGCCTCCCCTGCCTGGCTAAATTTAGCAGCTCTGTGAACATGGAGGGGGCCTGATGCCTGTCCTGGAGGCCAGCCCAGGCCCTCAAGGGGGTCGCACAGGCTCCAAAGAGTCTTCTTGGCCATTCAGCGTCCCAAGGTTGCAGAGGCCACACCGCTGCCCGAAGAGGAGCTCAGCCCAAGCTCTCCAGACCATCTGGGCCAGTCTCAGGTGTCCCAGGGACTCACATGGTGCCTCAGCCTCTCAGACACCGGCTGGAACATGGACCTGGGCTGGTCTAACTGGACTGTCTGGGGGACATGTGGGGAGGGCGGGCATCCATGTGGAGGCCACAGCAGGGGACCCCAGGCTGGCTTCTCCCCACCACCTGGACCTTACATGGCTTCTCCAGCCTCTTCTATCCCCAACTATGGGCCATGACCCAGCTGGAGTCCCTCTGCCTGTGTCTGAGGCATCACAGCCGCCTGGTTCTCCTCCATGCTTTGGGGTCATTTCCCCTTGGCCTTCAGCCTCTTTCTGCCCCTGGAACGTGGGGCGATTTGGTGCTGGCCTGGGTCCCTGCACTGCACACTTCGCAGGCACACACCCAGAGGTCCACGTCAAGCTGATGCTGAAGATGGCTACACCCACAGCGACCACGTACCCACTACCCACTCTGGCCCCCACCTCTTTTTCTTCTAAATCAAACTCCATTAGGGTATAAATTTGTTGTTGCTGTTGTTCAGTACCTCGGTTGTGTCCGGCTCTTTGTGACCCATGGACTGCAGCCAGACGCGCCTCTGTCCATGGGATTTTCCAGGCAAGAATACTGGAGGGGATTGCCACGCCCTCCTCCAGGGGATCTTCCTGATGGGGATGGAACCCAGGTTTCCTACATTGCAGGTGGATTCTTTACCATCTGAGCTACCTTACATGCAATCACACATACCCACTTTAGTCATAGTTTGATGAATTTTGACAAGTGCCTGCGACGCACCGCCCTCCGCGGTCCATCACTCTCGTACCTTCCTCCTGCCCCTTTGCTGTCGATCTTCCCCGGCTCCCAGTCCAGCTCCGTGGCTCTGTTACTAGATTTGTTTTGCCTTTTCTAGAATTTCACAGAGCTGGAGTTGCCCAGTATGGGCTCTTTTTTGGTTCTGTTTTCTTTTCCTCAGCACCACGGTTTTCAGCGTCATGCATTCTGTTGCATAGATGGGTGCACTGATTTTTATTGCTGGGGGGAGTGGGTGTTGCCGTTCCACTGCATGGACACACCACAGTTTGTTTTTCCTTCCCCCGTAGATGGATGTCTGGGTTGTTTTAGTTTGGGGCCACGGTGAATACAGCTGCTGTGGACCCTTGGATTCAGGTCTTTGTGTGGACACGTCTTCATTTTCTGTGTTTGCTCTTCCACTTCTCCCAAAGCAGCCCCAGTGGGCCTCCCTCCCACAGGTGGTGTGTAGTGGGGGTTGGGGGGGCATAGAAGCACAAAATCCTGGCCTCTGGAGGGAGCAGGGGGAAGCAACGGGTATTTTGGTGGCTGCCATCCCTGATCCAGAGTGAAGGATGCCGGGGCTTTCCCCGGAATTCCCTCCTGGGCCTGCGCCCGTGAGGTAGGAAACCTCTGTTTACCTTGGCCGCCCCGTCTTGGCCCATCAGGCTCCATGCCGTGTGCTGGACAAGGCCGGACTTGGGCAGGCCTGAGGGGCGGGGGCAGAGCACAGCAGGCTTGGCCATGTGCCCCAGAGGCTGCCGGGAGCCCTGAGCCCGCCTGTGTCCTGAGCAGACCCCCAGGCCCATCATAGGGCCGCTCACTGCCTGTCTGTCAAGATGAGGGCCAGTTAGATGATCAGGCCAGACAGAGCCCTGCCTGGCCCACCTCATGCAGCTGGTTGAGGACGCCCGAGATGAGATGTATGTAAAGGCTCTGTGATCTGAGATGGACTGTGTACAAGGGAGAAACCTGTTTATTCCCAGATCCTGCTGCAAGCTGTATGTCAAACCCTGTCCCCCGGATAAAACCTGGCATCTCCTAAAGCTGGGTTCTGCCTGCTCTGGTCATGGCCAGCTTCCTGGATGCCCCATTCATGCTTTGCACAGGGCCCTCTTACTCAGAGGAGACCTGTATGTGTGGTTTCTTGCTCTGTGGCCACTGCTAAGAAATTCTTGGAGACTTTCCTGGTAGTCCAGTGGTTAAGACTTCGCCTTCCAATGAGTGAGGTGTGGGTTTGATCCCTGCTCGGGGAGCTAAGATCCACATGCCTCAGGGCCAGAAAACCAAAAAGTGCAAAACAGAAGCAATATGTGGCAAACTCAATGAAGACTTTAGATATGGCCCACATCAAAAAAAGAAAGAAAAGAAGCTCCTAATCTTTGAATAAGAGGCTCTACATTTTCATTCTGCACTGAAGCCCACTGGTTACGGAGCTGGTCCCACCTCTGGCCCTGTGGGCAGGGCCCGAGTCCCCGTCCCAGGGCAGTGAGTCCTCCTTTCAAAGGAGAAAATGAGCGAGGCAGGGGACCCTGGCTCTTTCCTTCCCAGAGCCCCCGGTCCCGGAGGGCAGGGCCATCTGGGCGAGTCAGTTCATGGCAAGCAGCCTCATGAGGCCCCTGGACAGTGTGAGCCTCAGGAAGTCTTGGGGGGATGCATTCGGGTGGGGCTGGTAAGGACCAGAGATAGACAGTACCTGGGGGAGAGGCAGGACCCATGGAACAGCTGGGGCTGGGGGTCACCTCTGTGGGGAACAAGGGACCCCTAATATTCAGGCTCCAGGCCCAGTCCTGCTTCCCGTGGACCCCTCCCGGCCTCGTTTCCCCATGAATCACGTGTAAAGTCCTTTGATCAAGTGCGCAACTGTCGAGTGCTATGCATCTGAGAAGGCAGTCACGCCAGAAACTTGGCTCCAGAAATCAGGGTCTCCCCTGCCCTTTGTCTGACGAGATCTCTGGCTGGGGGTGTGGGAGCCCCCAAGGGACGTATGGAGGGGGCAGAGTGGGGCCCACTCCCCAGGAAACAGAGTGATGACCCTCACGGCCCCAGACACCCGGCCTTTATTTCTGTAGCAGACTGCAGGTCAGCAGGTGGGTACAGGCCCCTGCCCCCCCCACCGCCCTCCTCCCCTACAAAGACAGGGAGACTCTGGGTTCTCTCACTTTCAAGAGAAGGGAGGGCAAAGTCTAGGGGGAGAGGCCGCTGAATGTTGAGCCCATTTGTCTGCAAGGCAGGCCGAGGGGGCTTTTGATTCTGGGGACCAGGACGGGATGTGGGTCTTGATTTACATATAAAATAATCACTCTGTACACTCTCGAGGAGGGGCGAGGATGCAGTCATTGCTCACTGCTTCTTCCGTATCAAGCTAATCTTTGCTGGAGGGGCAAAAAATGAGTGGAGAGAAACATGTGTGTCCCTTGAAAGCTCTCATCCCTCCATGAAGGTGATCCAGGTGCACATGGGTCCTTCCAGCAAGGACGGAGGGAGGGAATGTGCCCTTGATGACCAGCCATTCTTAGTTATGACACCTGTCTAAGGTGTCTTAGACAGCCACCCTTTTGGCTCATGGGTGTGTGTGAGGGGGGCAGGGGCAAAGACTAAGGCCAAGGACCACCCGGCCATGCAGAGGTGGAGATGGCTGAGCCCTGGGCTGGGTGGCAAGGCACAGTGTGCAGCGATCCCAAGGAGGTCTCGGGTCTCAGGCGGCAGGAACACAGAAGGCAACTCCATCCTCTGCTTGGTAGGGCAGGCAACGCAGAGATGGAGTATTTCGTTTGCTCGGAACAGAGAACCCTGAGTCTGGAGCTGAGGCGGGCAGGCTGGCCATTTCCCAGGAAAGGGGGATCCCTGCTCAGCCCCCCTCCCCCACTGTGCCTTCTCTGTGAGTCTTCAGCTCCCTGCATGGATAAACAGAAACAGGCTCAAGCCCTCGTGAGTTCCGAGGAAGCGGAGTGGAATGGAAGGGGCTGTCTGTCCTCGTGTGCACGGCTGGGTCCGGATGTCCCCTCTTCACCCTGGGGCCGACCAGGCCCCAGACCAGGCACTCACTAAGAGTGAGATCAGAGTGGTTCCCAGAACTCCATCAGTGTAGACACGCCTGCAGGTCGCTAAGGGCATGCCCCGCCTCCAAGCAGGGAAGTGCTCGAAGTGTGAGTGTGTGTGCTTGTGGATCCGGGGAGGAGGGCTCCGGGCCAGCTCCGGCCTCTGGGCAGGCCCCTCGCAGGCTGCAGATCCTAGACTAGAGCCCAGAGACCTGAATCACAGAGCCCCCAGGCAGGCGGGAATGGGAACGGAGACCCCAGGCCAGGCCTGGCGGTGAGCCCAGTGAGCAAGCAGGCGAGTGTGCAGGCGGGTGGGTGTGGGGGATGGGGGCGGAGGTGAACGCTTGGGCACCATCACTCTGAGGTACACGCTGGAGACTCCACTCTGCTCCCCGCACTCACTTCTGGTCCTTGTCTTCTAGAAGAAAACCCGAGAGCGTGTGAAGATGTACGTTTGGGAGCACACATCCAGGCTGGCTCCTTTGGGCCCCTTCCGGCCTCCTCTTCTCCCAGGAGAGCCCCACTCTCCCACAACATCTCTCGGTCAGCCCCCAGCCCTGCTACATCCCTCTGGACATCCCCGGGACCTCCTTCACCCCAGGTGCTCCATCAACACCCCCAGAGCATCCGATGCACCTTTTCCTCTTGGTTTCCAGTTTGGTGAACCACCACCCACCAGGACGAGGTCCGGGAACCAAGGCCACCCCGACGTCTCGTCCATCTCTCGTCCTCTGCTGACTCAAGGCCTCTCACCAACACCCTCTTGCCCCTGGCATCATGCTACAGACCCAGCCCACTGCCCCCTTCCATGGCTCCCTAACTGCCATCAGAATAAACCCTAGGCCCACCTCGCATCTTGAACCCTCCCTGATCAGTCCACACTCAATCTCTCCAGGCCTCCTGGCCCCCTCAGCGAGGCCCACAGGCCTCCGCCTGACAGCTGCTTAGCCGCACCTGGGCAGAGCCAGGAGGTGGGGCAAGAGGACACTCCGCAACCTCCCGGGGCTGACCCAGCAACCCCAACAGTCCTCTGCGGGACACACTCCTCGTAAATCGTGGGGAAGTCATGAGCATCAGTCCTCTGCAAAACTTCCCTAAAAGGCCACCAGGCTGGCTTGGGAACATAACAGGGTCTCCCGTCTCATCCCCGCCCTGGCTGCCTTTAGGAGACCCAAGGGACTGCGGCCGCACGGGGCAGAGCTGTCTGGGTGCCAGCGGGCACACTCCACCCCATCTCTCTGAAGTGGGCACAGATGCCCAGTCTGCAGGCCCCACGCCACTCCTGACAGCCAAGCATCACACTCACAAGCCAAGCCTCACCGGGACCACAGTCAACATCTCGGGTTTCTGGTGGAGGTGGAGGCATTGCCTGGGACCAGCTCACACTGGGCCTCAGTGTCTCCCCTCCCAGACCAGCTCTACAGGCCCCAGCAGCCTCCCTACCTCTAGCCTCGTCCCCCATTTGCCCTCCGTGGTGATCCCAGTTCTTCCTATGCCTCCACCCTTCTGTGGCTTCCACTTCCCTGAGGACAATGTCCAGGGTCCTTACCTTGATATCCGAGGCCCCTGTCCCACTCTGGCCTCACCCCTGTACCCTGCACTCTGAGCCTCAGCCCCACTAAAGAGCCCAGTTCCTTCTCCACCAAGTTCAATCCTCCCGTTTCAAACCTTTGCTCAAACCCCACCTCTTCTATAAACCACCCCAACCCCGGCCTGGCAGGGACTGCTCCCTCCCAGACCTGGGCTGACTCCTCCACCATCCAGCAACCAGCCCCAGAACAGTGCCGGAAACAGAGGCTTCTCCCCTTGGCTGAGAAATGTCCTCACTTGGGAGTTTTCTCGAGAAAATGTGTGGAACCTCTTGGCCAAAGAAAGCTCTTGAAGACATGAAGCTGTCTGAGCTGCCCGCACCCCCAGGAGGCCTGACTGTGGAGGTGAGCCAAGTGTGGCCAAGGTCAAACCTTCTGGGCGGACCACCCCCAACTCCGCGCTCCAGTCAGAGTTGGGGGTCCTGAAGATAGAGTTTCAGATGACAGAGCCAGTTCCCCCTTCACCTCCCCCGGAGCGTCCAGCATGCTCAGTCGCGTCTGACTCTCTGCGACCCTATGGATTATAGCCCGCCAGGCCCCTCGGTCCATGGGATTCTCGAGCATCCAGAGGGTGGGCCAGAAAGATCCCCGCAGCAGGCACAATGCTGCGTCCAGCTCCCCTGCCCGCACCCGTGGGCTGGAGCCTCGCTTTGGCTCCCACTCCCACCAGCTCCACTGTCCCCCTTGGCTGAGCCCCCCTCTTCCCCCACCATGTCTGGTCACCCTGTGGACAGACTTGGGGTGGGCCAGCTTCCCCAGAGAGTGCAAGCCGACTTGTTTTGGCCTTTTCAATAAGACAAAATATTTGTAGTGCTCAGGAGGGCGGGCCAGCATGGGAGATGGGGGCTGACTGATTGCCTTGGCCCCTGTGGAATGCCAGACCAGTGATCTGTTTATAGCCCTTCCCCACCCCCACCCCAGGCATCCCCCCGTGGGCCCAGGATACATTCTTGCCAGAGGTGGCCTTTAAGGACCCACCCAGCTGCTCCAGCGCAGGCCTCGGTCATCTCTGGGCCTAACATGGGCCAGCAGCCTGACCACAGACCCAAGGCCTTGGCTCAAAGTCCCAGGAAGAGGGAGTTTCTCACCCCAGCTTCCTCCCTCTCTGGGCAGTTCAGGGTGAGGACGATCCCGCCTCCCTGCCCTCGGAAGGTTCAAAGCTGCCCGCTCTCTGAGCCCCTGGTAGAGGCGGGCAGAGACGGATAGCATGCTCAGGCTCAGCTCAGAGAAGTCAGAGGGGAAGACCCAGAGGAGGGCACAGCAGGCCGGACTGGGCAGGGCTGGCAGCAAGCAAGGAGAGTGAAGTGATCCAGCCCTGGGCGGTCCTCCCATCGGCTGCCCGCTGAGCCCAGGGCCTGGCCCCGGCAGCGCGAGACCCTGCTGACACCCACTGCAGACTGGGGGTGGAGGCAGGCGGGGAGGCGGGCTGGAGGAGAGCCAGTGGGGGGGTCTGGGGCCTCCACTCACCGTCCACGTGCGTCCGGGACAGGTACTTGAGAGCCTCGTCGAGCAGGATGACAGGCAGCGATATCTGGAGCACCGCCACCCACTGGCGCCCGTTCAGTGGGGTCACTTGGAAGATGAGCTGGGATGGGGGCATCTCAGTTAAAGGAAGGAGTGCCTAGAGCGCCCTAGATCCACCGCTTCACATGCCCCCGGCTACAGTGGACTCTTCATGAGCACGTCTAAGATGTCCCTCTGTCCCGCCTCCAGATCTGTGTCCACTTGGTCTCCTCTGCCCCAGGTGCCCTCCCCGGCCCTCACCTGCAGGACCAAGTCCTGTCCCAGTGGGAAGTGGGAGGGATTCTACATCGGGAAAGGGCATCGTCTTTCCTCCTGCCCCAGCCTTGGGGGACCTCTTTTTTTTTTCTATTTTTTTCTTCCCCTCCACCTGTTCTGTTCCCCAAGTCTGGGGCGGGGGGAATGTCCTGAAGTGGGGGACACATCTGGCTGGCCAGGGTCCAGGTCCCTGCGGTCACTGAGCACCATCAGACCTCTCCCCCATCACAGCCCCCAGGCAGTTTCCATCACAAAGAGGCCCTGGAAAGACCCAGCCTCAGAGGAGAATTAGGGCCCTGTGACCCCAGGAGCTGGAGGAGGGGAGCAGGGCTGGGCAGCCACTCACAGGCAGGGGCGGCACAAGCAGAATGAGGAAGTGCAGGGCCATGGACATGGCCACGGCCGCCAGCAGCCAGGGGTTCAGCCAGGGCGGCATCCGCAGCAGTGACTGGTTCTCCGAGACGCTGTTGAGGGCACACGGGGCGCTCACCTCAGACCGGGATGTGGGCAGGCCCCGATCTGGTCCCCACCCATCCCCCAAGTGAGGTGCAGGGAGAAGCTGGTCTGAGTTTTAGCGCTGTCCTTTAAAATCTGGAGTGCTTCTGGGAGTGCAGCCAGAAGCGGTGTGTGGCTATTGCCCACTCAGTCCCCAGGGGCCAGTCCCGGGGCTCAGACCCCCTTTCTCTGACCCTCAGACCTAACCCTGGCCCTTCTATTTCCTCAGACCTCAGCCATGTCTCCCTTGATCCCCTGGATCCCAATTCTAGCCCCCACTGGCTCTCAGAATCCTCCTCTGGCCCCTCCTGACCCTCAGGCTGTAATTACGGACACCGCCACCGCCACTCCCGGGCCCCTCCTGACCCTCAGCCCCGCCCCGGGCCCCTCTGCCAGCCCACCTGTTCAGGGCGTTGCACATCTCGATGGTCACCAGTACAGACAAGGCCATGGTGGTGGGGGAGCGCGACTCAAAGACCCTGCAGTCAATGCCGGCAAAGAGCGGGCTGTCCTCGGAGCACTTCAGGAAGTTCCTCTGGGGGCACCCAGGTGAGACGGGGTGCAGGCAGAAGGAAGAGTGGTCAGAGGCGGGGCCAGGGCAGGGGAAGGGGGAAGCCTCCCTTCCCCTGCTCACCCTCAGCTCACATCTGGGGACACAGCACAGCCAGTGCTGCTGTGGAGAGGGCCCAGGGAGGGGTGCTCGCTCACCCAGGATGGGGACAGAGGCGGCACTGTGCCAGGGAGAAGGGCAAGATGTTCTGGGGTGGGGTTGTGGTCAGAAAAGGGGAGAGCAGCTGGTATTAAGCTGGGGAGGACGGCAGGGGGCCCTGGACTCAGGGGGTGAGGGCCTGAGTGTCAGAGGTGCAGGGGTTGGGGGAGGCAGCGATTAACTGAAGTCACCAAATAAGTTGGGCTTCCCCAGTGGCTCAGAGAGTAAAGAATCTGCCTGCAATGCAGGAGACCCGGGTTCGATTCCTGGGTTGGGAAGATCCCCTGGAGAAGGAAATGACAACCTACTCCAGTATTCTTGCCTGGAGAATCCCACGGACAGAGAAGCCTGGCGGGCTACAGTCCATGGGGTTGCAAAGAGTCGGACACGACGGAGTGACTAACGCCAAATAAGTAAATGCATATGAAAATCGATCAGCAGAATTATACTTGAATAGAATTCACCTTTGGCTGATAGAAGATGAGGCTGTGAGCATGCGTGCCAAGTCGATTCAGTCATGTCCAACTCTTTGGGACGCGACCCTATGGACTGTAGGAGCCAAGCTCCTCTGTCCATGGGATTTTCCAGGCAAGGATACTGGAATGGGTTGCCATGCCCTCCTCCAGGGGATCTTCCTGACCCAGGGATCAAACGCAAGTCTCATGTCTCCTATATTGGCAGGCAGGTTCTTGACCACGAGTGCCACCTCGGAAGCCCAGAAGATGAGGCTACTGGGGCCCTAGTCATGATTATTAAATAAGATTCCATTCACACCTCTCTTCATTTCTGCCACTGAAATTGAGCTCTATCAGACCTGCCCTTCGCTCATGACAAGGCCTAACACATGCATGGTTAGGGTGCATTCTTGCTACACAGCTTCTCCACAATGAACAAGGAGCTCCCAGGACTCGGTAAGGGAGGTGGCGCTTGCCCCTGCAGCCCCAGGGGAGTTTTCTTCCTGCCCATGAACCTTGCTCTCAGAAGCTGCTGTAACAAGATGCTGAACTGAGGCCACTTGTGAGAATTCCGTCTCGTTCTCTTCCGCACCATGGGAATTCGCATGAACATTCACAGCCATTACACAGCTCTGTTCTCCAACATCTGGCCCCTGGAATCTCCTCTGAAACACTGATCCTTTTAAGATTAAAGTTTAGAAATGGGGGCCATGTGCTGTGAAAATAAGCCTCAAAGAGAAATCTGTAAAATGATCGGCAGCCTGACCTCCTGCCCAGGAAACCCATCCCTCATTCCCCACATGGCATAAGCGGATAGAGCGACTCCGTCAGCCCGAAGAGACTGCTGGTTCTTTCCTCTCTCATGCACGATGCAAAATGATAAAAGACCATGGCTTGGCTAGACTTCTTCTCTCTTGACAAAGAGAGGGAGAGTCTTATTTAAATCAACAGAGGGAATTTCTCCAAAAAAAAAAAAAAAAACCAAGCTCCAGTATTTGGGACAAGTGCACAGTTTTATTTGGCACTGATCACAGGGCAGAGAAAATGTCCTAAACTTTGAAACCACCCAACTGACCAAGAGGACAAATGTTCTTTCGGGCTGTGTCACCACCATCAGGCCTCACCTCCAGATCTTAGCGGTTAAGGACTTTTCTCAAACGTGTACTCACAAATGCCACGCACACACCTCCCATTTGGGCCCATGTGTGCTTGCATCCCCATGCCCATGCCCAGGGAAGACAGTTGAGAATAGGATCACATGGAGGTGTTTCAACAGATAAACATCCCAGGACTTCCCTGCTGGCAGAGTGGGTAAGAATCCGCCTGCCAATGAAAGGGACACAGGTTCAATCCCTGGAAGATTCCAACTGCCACAGAGCAACTAAGTCCTGAACAACTGAATTCCAGGTGCCCTAGAGCCTGTGCTCCACAAAGAGAGAAGCCAAGGCAGTGAGAAGCCCACGCGTTGCCATGAAGAGTAACCCCTGCTCACCGCAACCAGGGGAAGCCCACACACACCAACGAAGCCCCATCACAGCCACGCAAAAACAAAAACACCCTGCCAGTTCCCACCTTCTGGGTTTCAGCGGTGAGCACCTGCATTGTGCCTGGATCAGGGGCCGCAGTGTGGCCTCCTGCGTTGTTCATTAGAAGGTGCTCAGGGGCTGGAACTGCTGCCTCACAGTTTCATCGTGAGCACCCCTCCCCTGGGGGGTGGCAGGCCTGTTTCTTTGGGTGAAGCTACTGTTCTCCCTACTCCTTCCCTTGGCCTCCCTGGCTATTTCCTATTCGCCTTCACCTGCGAGCCTCCCTCTGGGTTTCATTAACATTTTCATAGCTCTTACCGTGTGCCAGGTGTTGGTTTAGGCACTTTATACGTACTGACTCGGATAATCGTCTGGATAGCCCTATGAGGCAGGGTCTATTACCCATTTTATATGGGTGGAGAGATGAACAGAGAGGTTAAGTCGCCTATTCCAAATCACACAGCTCGTATGTCATAGAACCAGGGTGTGAACCTGGGGAACCGGGATCCAGGATGTACTCTCTTGCCTTTATTCAGCATTCCTCCAGGAATGCTAGCAAGGCTCTGGGCACTTCTCCTGAAATTCCAACACCTGCAGCTGAGAGTTCTACTTTAGGTCTAACTCTTGACCACCTCCGAGTTCCACAGCCTCCTGCCTTTTCTCTGCGGAAGCACTGCTCACCCTAAAACGTGACCGCCCATTTCCCTGGCTCTCTCCCCCACCAGATGGGACACTCTCTGCAGATACTCTGCCATTTCAGTCACCTCCATTGCTCTAGCAATTTGTGCCTGGCCCAGTCAGGCCTAACAGCTGCTTCTTGACCAACTGGATAAATGAGAAATGGAATGACCTGAGGACAGTTGGGAAGGTGGCCCAAGGGGGACCGAGGACCGACTGGCGGTGGGTATGGGATGTGTGTCTAGCAGGACTCCAAGGGTCTGGCTGGGGTGACCAGGGAGGAGGTGGAACTGAGATGCAGATGGCAGAAGAGGGAATTGTTTGCAAAAAGGCAAACGATTTTGGCTTTGGACTTGGTGAGTGCACTGGGACCGTGGGATAGCCCATAGGAGGTATGCAGCTGGCTGTATGGGACTGCTCAGAAGGTTGAAATGGGGGGAGGTCCCTGGAGATTTGGGGTTCATAGCACAAAGGATGGTGATAGTGATGGGACAGGAGGAAGGCTGTAGCAGGATGGTCAGCACACCCCCACTCTCCACCTGCCACCCCCAAAGGAGCTGCAGGGGCAGGTGTCTGATCCATCTGCCAAGGGCTGAGGGCCACCAGCCTTTGGGATAGGGGTCTGGGCCCAGGCTCTGCACTGCTGCCAGGAGGGGAGCCCCGTGTGCTTGAGGGCTGGTGGGAGAAAGAAAGCACCCCCAGCTGCCTCCACCAGGCTGTGAACCCCGGAAAGAGCCCTCACACTGCCCCAGGGGGTGGGGAAGACTGCATTACCCTGACACACCCAGGGCGGGGGCAGGAAGTCAGGGTCCCTCTCTTGAGCTCTTCTGTCTACAGGAAAACAGAAAGGCAAGCACACCAGAGGAAGGAAAGTCTACATCCAGGCAGCTCTCTCCTTTAAACCAGAAACCCACAACTGGCCTGGCCAGAATTGCCGCAAAGTTTCTTTCAAGCAAAGGAGATGCGTTGGCTGCTCAGACAGAGGGACAGATGGACAGACAGCAGTTGAGGTCAGGATGGAGGTGGCATCTCCTTGCTTGCTTTCAGAGCTGGGCTGAACTAAGCCAAGCCTGTGGTGTCCACCTGCCAGCCAGGGGACTTCAAGAGGTCAATGGGTCCTTTCCCTAAGAGACAGGTTGGCTATAAAAGCCTGGCAGATTCCTTCCCTCCACGATTGATCACTTCAGTCTGACCCTCTGCCAAAAGTTCCACCATTCAGGTGCTCCTATCACTGAGCCCTCAATGTTTGGGAAGTTTCCCAATAAAGGTGAGGCTTCCAGGCAGTGAAGCCTGAGGCCCCCTGTAACTGAATGAAACGGGGAGTGAGCAGCATCTTCTCTGGCTTGGGGGCTGTGCTGCTGTCTCGAGGCTTCGGGTGGCTTCGGAGCTTGTTTCCTTAAGTGTGGGTGTCTATAGGTGTGCAGGGGTGGGGAGGGACAGCCACTGGCCTCCCGTCGGGTTCTGGATTCCCTCTCTCCTGGAACTCCAACAACAACATGGGCTGTGAGTTCTACCTCTCAGACGACTCCAGTGGGCTCCCTGGCCATCCCTTGCTTACCAGCTGGTAGAAGGTGACCTGCGGTCCCTCGGCATCATACAGGAACCACCAGGTGGCAGCAGCCACTGTGGCCAGGCCGACGTACACTGTGGGGAGGGCGGGAAGAAACTGGCTAGAGTGGACGCCTGTGGTTTTCTGGCATCTGTTTCCCTTTCCCAATAATTTGCTGAATCTCTGTCAGGGAACCACTCTCTCCCTTGAGTATGTAACACCTATCCTCGGGGTCAGCAGTGGCCCTGATGGGCAGTCAGCATCTGCTCCATCCCTGGCCACAGTGATTGGCAAGGAGATAAGCAGGTGACCCAACATGGGTGGAGAACAGGCCTGAGAATTTTATGCTATTTCTACAGGAGTAATAGGATAAGACTCTTTCTTCTGCTTTATTCGAGATTATAATGGGGCAAGTCTGAGGGCTGGAGCTCTGGCAACCATCCTGCCACCCCAAGGGGCACCTGCTTGAGAATGAAGCTCAGGCAGAGCTAAAATATGCCAATGATAGTCTGAGGGCTGGATCCAGCCATGCCTGAAGCAAACCTAGTCTTTTCAGTTACATGAGTCCACATAGTTTCTCTTGACATAAGCCAGGCTGAGTCATATTGGTCCAGAGTTTGTAAGTATAACTAATATAAGGGTCTTAGGAAACTCCAGGAATCCCTATGAAAGCTGGGGCCCCACTCACCTCCAATAGCTAGATATCGGAAGAAGAGCCAGCCACTGATGAGGGCCTCTCGAGGGTTTCGGGGCCGTTTCTCCATAATGTCCAGGTCTGGTGGGTTGAAGCCCAGGGCTGTGGCAGGTAGGCCATCGGTCACCAGGTTCACCCAGAGGAGCTGCACAGGGATCAGGGCTTCGGGCAGGCCCAGAATGGCTGTGAGGAAGATGCTGAAACCAGAGTCATGGGCTTGAGCCCCAGCAAATGGAAGGTCCAGCTGCTACTCACACCCCAGGCCTGCAGTGCCACCCACTGTCTCTGCAGCAGCCCCACCTCACTCTGCTAGTGCACACTCATGTGTGCACATGAGTGAGAAGTGGGTGCATACACTCTGTTCACGCTGGGCCTGAACCCCCAGTCCCAGCTCTGGGGCCTGGACAGACCCGCCCTTTAGGCTTCTCCCATTGAGGACAGGGCACAAGTTCTCTTTAAGACACACACAGACACACACATGTGGACAGCGCGTGCCTGAGCAGATGCACATTTGTTCACAGGTGTGTGCAAAAAACCTAGTGCAGGACACACAATCCCACAAAACACAAGCAAACATCAACACGCTTGCCCTGACGTGCACAGAAGCATAATTCTTACACGGCCAGGAAAACATGCGCTCACCATTCGCCACAGGCATCACTCACATGTGAACCTAAGTGCATACACGATTACATGCGGGCACAAATCCTCAGTGCTTCTACTCATGCCCAAAGATGAACAGGAAGTCACATGCACACGTGTACACACGCCTCTCAGTCAGGCACACACCCTATGTGCACACACAGACATATTACTGCCCAAAGGTGAGGTGAGTTCTCCCATCTCGCAGGACTCTGAAAGTGGGAAGAAGGTCATGGATGGAGGGATGCCAGGGGATTTCTCCAGCACCACCCTGGGGACTAAGGTACATAAGGAGTTCTGGAGAATGATGGGGTGTCCCCGTTCCTGACCACCCTGAGGTGGGACTCTGGAAGGCCCATCTTCCAGGGCAGGACATGGGTCCCGTCATCCCTGCAGCCCCATCCCAGGACCAGGCATTCTTCCTGTCACCTCATCCCAGACCAGGTATTTTCCCTGTCCTGGGGATGCACAGCTGGTCCAGAGGGCTGGGAGGACGGAACACAGGGCCTCACCAGACAACCTCGCCAACGTTGGAGGAGATGAGGTAGCGGATGAATTGCTTCATGTTGCTGTAGATGGCCCGGCCCTCCTCTACCGCGGCCACGATGGAGGCAAAGTTGTCGTCTGAGAGTACCATCTCCGCCGCTGACTTGGCCACGGCCGTGCCAGAGCCCATGGCAATGCCGATCTCTGCTTTCTTCAGGGCTGGGGCATCATTCACTCCGTCTCCTGTCTGAGGGCCAGGTTAGGGGGGTTCACGCCTGAGAAACTTCCCTGCCACCCGCCTGACTCCCCTCCACTCAGCCTGTTGCCAAGTTTAGGGATTGTCCCCGAGGAAGCAGACAGCTGAACGGAACCAGTGGTGAGGTCATGAGCCTAGAAACTGATCTGGGGCTGAGGCTGAGGACAGGGCAGGGGGTGCGGACAAGGACAATATTGAGAAGAAGGTCAAGTTTAAGGTCAGAGAAGATGGTGAGGTGAGGACGGGAAGAAGGCGAGTCACACTGAAGGCAAGGATGAAATCAAGGTGGGATGTGGGGTAGAAATGAAACTGAGGTGAAGGACAAAGTTAAGGTCAAGTCAGGAATGAGGTGAAGGTCATGGCCCAGGTCAAGGGTCAGTTAGGGGCTGTAGTTAAGGTGAAGGTTGGAGCCAAGGTGAAAGACAGGGTCAAGAATGGACTCACGTTCAAGATAAAAAAACTAGATCGAGGGAGAGGTAAGTCAAGGCTATGGTTCCTCTCAGGAATGATGTCATGGTAGAAGGCAGAGTTGACGTCAAGGCCAAGACTGAAGGCCAGATCAAAGCTGAGGCCCACATAAAGTAATAGACTGAGAGGGGGTCAACGTCAGGGATCAGATCAGGGTCCAGGTCAAGACTGGAACCCGTATCAAAGTTGAACTGAGTAAAGGATCAGTTTAAGATGTTTAAGGTTGAGGTCAGGGAGCAAGTCAGTATGAAGGTCAAAAATAAGGGCCAAGAACAAGTTTACAATTGTAGTCAAGTCAAGGTTGGCGCCCAGATCATTATCAGGTCAAGACTGAGCCATATATAAGGATTAAGGCCAACGTAAAGGACTGGGATAGGCTGGAAGTCAAGATTACAAACTGAGGTCAAGACAGGGAGGAGTGAAATCGAGGTTAAGAATAAAATCAGTGTTGATGAAAAGGTCAGCAATCAAGAATGAGACAGAACAAAAACTGAGACTAAACCAAGTGTTCATCCAGAGGTGAAGGGGTGAAGAGACTGGTATTACACAGCATAATGCCACTGAAAAAGAAGCGAAAAATCATGGTACTGAATCCCTCAGCAACATGGATAAACCTCAAAGGAAAAAAGCCAGACACAAAGAGCAAATGCTGTATGATCCCACTCATGTGAAAATCCACGAGAGGCAAAATAATCCAATATGAAAAAAAAAAATCAGAGCAGAGATTGCGAGCTGTGGCTGGGGGGCGGATGGAGAGGGTGCGTAAAGGAACCTCATGGGTTGATGGTAAAGTTCCCTCTCCTGTGTGAGGGCAAAGTGTACTGATGTCTACAACTGAGTCTGAAATGCATTAAGAAAAGATGGATTAAAGATGGGTAGACAGACAGGTATGTGATAAAGCAAATATACCTATACTATTTATAGACTCTAGATGGCAGATATTTACAGGCATTCACTATAAAAATCATTTCAATTTCTCTCTGGGCTTGAAATTTATTGAAATAAGATGTTGGGAAAAATAAGAATGAAGCAGAGGCAGGGGTTGGCCAGTTGCTCTTTCTAAGCCCTGTGGTCAGTGCTTCCCACCATACCCCAGCCCGTCACCTCCCCCAGGCTCCCAGCTTGTGGCCTCACCATGGCAGTGATCTCATTAAAGGACTGCAGGTTCTCCACAATGCGGGATTTGTGGGCGGGCTCCACCCGGGCAAAGCAGCGGGCCGTGCGGCAGGCATAGCGCTGCTGCTCGGGGCTGAGGTCATCGAATTCGCGGCCCGTGTAGGCCTTGCCCACCACGTCCTCCGTGTCCTCGAAGATGCCAAGCCGGCGGCAGATGGCCACGGCTGTGGCTTTGTTGTCCCCTGTGATCATGACCACACGGATGCCTGCCTGGTGGCAGCGTGCAATGCAGGCAGCCACCTCGGGCCTCGGAGGGTCCAGCATGCCCACGCAGCCCACGAAGGTCAGGTCCGTCTGTAGGGAGGGGGTAGATGCCAGCAGGGCCTGGACCCATCCTCAACCTGCCACCTGCCCAGCGCCACATGCGGACACACGGGCCCAGGGCCCCAACACCCACCTCCTACTGCACACCCACCTCGTGCTGTGGGTGGACACACGGCCCTGGGGTCCCAGCACCTACCTCGTACTGCACAAACTTGCTGCAGTCATCCAGTTGCATGTCCTCCTTCCTCAGGGGCGCGTCCCGGGTGGCCAGTGCCAAGCAGCGCAGCGTGTCCAAACCTGAGCCCCAATCCTTGACCGTGGCCAGGATCTGCTCCCTGGAGGTGGTGTCCAGGGGTACTGTGTGGCTTCCCACACGGACCGAGGTGCAGCGCTCAATCACACTCTCAGGAGCCCCCTGCAGCAGCGGGACAGGGGAGGAGACAACTGGGTCAGTGGGGACCCCTCCCCTCCCTCCTGCTTAACTGTGAGTTGAGGCCTAGATCGCAGGTAAGTAAGGTCATCCAAGGAGACACACAATAAGGGACACAACAGAATCCATCTTTAAGAAGGTTGGAGCAGGAACCAAGTGGGCCCCACGGTGAGAGAGCCCAGAGGGTAGGGGGCGCTCACATAGAGTGTGATGCCATGTGAAGCCCCCAGCAGAACATCCCCCCACCCCGGCAATTAGCTTGAAGCTGAGAAGGCCTGACGCAGCATTTTGGGGGACGGGGTGGGAATGGCACCCTCCTGCAGACCCTGCTGCCTTGCCAGGCTGGTGCTCCCATGACTCCAATTCTGTAGGATGCTCTGCATCGGGAAGTGGGCTGAGCCCTGCTGGGGGACCAGAAACAGAACCCAGCTGAAGGTGTGGGGAATATGGCTCTGGAGGGTGGTCGTGGGGTGCCAGGCTTCTCACTGGCCTTGGGGTCTCACCCTGGACCTCGTCCCAGGCCTGGAAAGAACCTCTGAATCCTTCATCGGTGCCTCCTCCCTCTCCCCAAAAGGTGTCCCAAACACTAGGGGGTTTTGTTTGTTTTTTTGTGGCCAAGTCACAGGGCATGCGGGATCCTAGCTCCTCGACCAGGGATGGAACCTGAACCTCCTGCAGTGAAAGTGCAGAGTCTCAACCACTGGAATGTCACGTAAGTCCCTTGATATATATACATACATGCATACACACACACACACATATATATACATATATATATATATATGGTCAAACACTAGGTATTTTAAGAAGCCCAAACTCCCAATACAGAAGCTTTTTGTTTTAAAAAAGGTTAAAATCCCCCACTGCAGGTTTTACAGCAGATTTTAAAGATTTTGCTTTAATCTGACTCCTACTTTAGATTCAAAATCAGTGACAGGAAGGACTATGGACGAGAGTCTGGATGGAGCTGGTTCCTTTCCTCCTTGGGACTGTTTCCAAGACACAAAGCACCAAGTCTGGACACCAACCACTTCAACAGTCCCCATCAGGAGCAAAAGGGTTCCTGACACAGTCCAGCCTGACCCACTATTCAGACGGGGACCCAAGGCCCACGTGGCAGCACGGTGACCCCGAGGTCATGTGGCAAGGCAGTGCCTCTCAGATCAGACCTGGGACCACAGGCAGGCCTCAGCATCTGGCCCGGGTTGTACCTGCCCCACACCTGGGCCCCCTTCCCAGTTCCCCGTGGCAGGCTGACCACCCTCATTCTGGAGTCATCCCTTTGCCGAGGGTCTCCCACCTCCCCCAGTGTCCCACGGCTGCAGGCTCTGGCTCGTCAGAGGACTGGAGAGCAGGCCCCTGGGGACTCCAGGAGTGCAGAGGCCCCAGGCCGGTCAGGCAGGCCCACCTTCACAAACATTTTGCTGCCCTGGGCCGCCAGGCCAGGGCGGGTGGGCGTGCAGTACACTGACATGGACTTCCGGTCTCGGGAGAACTCCAGGGTGAACTCCTTCTGCATCAGCTGCTTGATGACCTGCGGGGCCCGGGCGGGTCAAGGCTTGAGGGGCAGGGCCAGGGATGCTGGCTGCTTCCTCACCAGCTGCGCGGCCCCATGAAGAGCCTCTTGCTCCCTGCACGGTGGTGAATCTATCCTCCTCTAACCCTGACATTCAAGGCCTCCGTCTCCCTCTCCTGCCCCAGAAATGCCCCAGAGTTGCCATTTCCTGACCAGACTGGGTAATTTCTGACTCCAAGTCCTTGCCCACACTCAGCTGTTCCTCTCTTTTCTCCCTAGACCAGTCTTACTAGGTAGGCATCTGAGGTCCTTCCTCCTCCCAGAACCCTCCCAAGACTCCCTTCCCCTCTCTCCCTTCTCCCGATGCCCCAGAAGCCCCAGCCACACTGCTCACCGCATTGCAGGCGCCAGCTCGCTCCACCCGGGAGAGAGCCTGCAGGTCCGTGTCAAAAACATTCATCTTCTCCACCAGGCAGGTCAGGGCTGTCTCCGTGGCCTCTCCTACCTTCTCATACACACCCTTGGTCTAGGGGGGCCCAGGTATAGGGAGGGAGTAAGGGTTGGGGCAGCCCCTGGCCTCACCTCCCACTCACTCCCTGACCCTTGGAGCTCCCAGGCCCTGCTCCTTCCCTCCCCCTTCTCTCCCTGAGGCCTCCTATGCCCCCGCCTCCACCACTCTTCACAGGCTCACCAAGGCAAGGGCCCGCCTAGGTCACTGCTCCCTCCCTCTTGAGCTCCGCCCATTCACACAGTTGCTGCCTGTTGCTTGGTTCCCTTCGGACCCTGAATCTACCTCTCCGTCTCTCTATATGTGCCACTCCAGTGACTGTTCCAGCCAGAATGCAGCTAGAAGCTACTTGAGCTCTTCTCCCTCTTTCACCTAACTGGTCACCAAGTCCCAGGATTTTGGCTCCAAACTCTCTCCAACCCATGCCTTCTCCCCTCTTCCTGAAGCCCCAGCCAGGACTCAGCTGACATTTCTCGGGCCCGGGTGACCACACAGGGCTCCCTGGACCCGGTCTTGCCCAGTCTGTTCTGTCCTCCACACTGAGACCTAGGCGATCATCTGTGAATGTAGATCTGACCCTATCACCCTCCTGCTCTAAACCCTTTGCTGTCTGTTTGCTGCCCCTCAGGTGGGCATCAGACTGACTTGGTCTGGCCAAGTGCCCCCACTCAGGGGCGAAGAGCCTCCCACGTGCACCATGCTTCTGCTCCAGCCACAAGGAAGAGCATTCACTGCCTAGATCACATCAGGTTATACTGGCCTGTGGGCCGTTTCTGGGCTGTGCCTTTTGCTTTAAACACGTCCTAGTGTTTGTCCCCCAAACCTCTTCTCCCAGGCATCCCTGGCCTTTCTACCTTTTACATTACAGTCTCCCACAGCCCAAGAGCCCCAGAGCAAGGTTCTGAAGCCAAACTGAGGAAGAAGGAGAGGGGGAAGTGTGGAGTGGACGGGGATGGCAGTGTTCCTGGGATGTGGCACTCCCAAGGGGCAGGGACCTCCAGTCCTGGGAGCTTGGATACTCTGGGAGAAAGGTCTGTTCTGAGCGCCTGGATACTAGGGAAGTCACTGAAAGTGGGTAGGGGCCCACCTCGTTGTAGTCCAGCGCTGAATCATTGCACAGGGCACAGATGGTTGCCAGCTCCACCAGCCCATCAAACTGCCCGCAGCGCACTCGCCGCTCTCCCTGACGCCTGTGGAGCCAGAGCGGTCAGAACTGGGTTCTTGGCCCCGCCCCTGGGCGATGCCCAGTATGTTGGCCCCGCCCCCAGGAGGCCTCACCAATGACAACTCTCAACAGTTGTCCTATGTAGCCCCGCCCACCCGTAAACCCCGCCCACCTGTGCCCCTTCGCTGTGCACTCACACTTCGCCCTCCGGGGCATACGTGGTGCCTGAGATGGTGAACTCGTGCAAACGGCAGATACCCGCTCCGGCCTCGGCTACCACGAACATCTGGGGGGCACAAGGGTGTGCTCATGTGTTTTCCAAACCCTTATTTCAGAATCCCTAGTAGGACTGTTCAAACGAAGTCCTACTAGGGATTCTAGCAGGTCAGGAGCTGCAGGGCAGCAAAGTGAGCTGGTGCCCCGGCCCCTGCAGCAGCCTCTGGTGCGCTTCTGTGGGGGACTAAGGTCTCAGACACAGAGCGTGGCTTTCCAGGGTTTTATGGGAGCAGGGGTGGGAGAGGAGTGATCGGGGGCCTGGAAGAATGGGAAACCCACAGCCTTCAGCATCACCCCACCCACTCCTCTACCCCCAGAGACCTGCTGGAGTCTCAGCCAGACTCCCTGGAGCATGTGGGCAGTAGCCCAGGATCTGGGATCGAGTGCCAGGGAATGAATAATTCCTGCCTGGGTCCTTCCCAGGTCACCGGAGCTGGTGTATTGGGTGACAGGCACTGACCACAGAGCGTCACGGTGGAGCAGGATAAAACCTGGGTCCAGGCCCGGCTTGGCTCGGATGCCCAGGCTGTACTTGACCCTCCCCTATGTCCTTTATGGTCACCTGGCAGGGCTTGCACACCCAAACTTCAGATGAGGAAACTGAGGTTCACAGATGGCCTGCGAGGCCTGCCAGGACCCTACAAAGTGACACATGTGTCCAAATGATGCATGTCCAGCCAGGCTTTGCTGCTCTGCCCCAGGAAAACCTGGATCTGCTTCCCACCAGGGGGCAGCGCACATGTTCTCTCCTCCATCTCTGGAGTTGGGGAGTGGCCCAGAGAGGTAGCCCAGCCTGCCAAGCATCACACAGCAACACCCAAGCTGGCTGCAGCCACTCACCCGGCAGACCGACATCTGATTGGTGGTGAGCGTGCCCGTCTTGTCTGAGCAGATCACCGAGGTGCAGCCCAGGGTCTCCACAGAGGGCAGACTCCGCACAATGGCGTTCTTACGGGCCATGCGCCGCGTGCCCAGTGCTAGGCAAGTAGTGATGACAGCCGGGAGGCCCTCGGGGATGGCAGCCACAGCCAGGGCCACAGCGATCTTGAAGTAGTAGACAGCACCTCGAAGCCAGGAGCCGCCGTGGGCGGGATCAGCAAAGTGACCGATGTTAATGACCCACACGGCCATGCAGATCACGGAGATGGCGCGAGACAGCTGCCGCCCAAACTCGTCCAGCTTCTGCTGCAGGGGCGTCCGCTCTGGCTCCACGGCGGCCATCTGACTGCGGATCTTACCCAGCTCCGTGTGCAGGCCCGTGGCCACTGCCACACCCACTGCCTTGCCCGATGCAATGTTGGTGCCCTGGCCGAGAGAGGGATGAGCAAAGGGGCTGGTTGGCACCTCAGCAGGGGCCCAGGACCCCTGACCCCTTCAGGCTGGGATTTGGGCTCTCTACCCGCTCCTTGGCTTTCTCTTTCTCTATGTCACTTAGTGCTCCCAAACATATGTCATCTGGAGTTATGACTGCCATCGCCTTGATAGTGTCAGCTCTATGAAGGCAGGGACTTGGTTTGGTGCCACATTCCCAGTGCCAGCATGGGGTCTGGCACAGAGGCAGCAACAGCTGATATTGACAGAACAGCACAGCACCAACCCATTAAAATAAGGTTCATACACAACCAAAACAGCCACACAGGGGTGCTGCTATGATCTCAGGTAAACAGTTTTAAACAGTATTTACTGAAGAATCCAGAAAATCTGAGCTTAAGTCCATCCATCCCGAAGGTCCCAGTAAGGTCCCCAAGCCCTGATGCAAGGGCTGGCCAGCATGAGCCCCCGTGTCCTTTGCTGTAAAATGGTCCAGCAGAGGCGAGAGACACAGCTATTAAGGGGAGGCTCATAACTCATCCCCTTCAGATGGGTGCCCCGTGCCAAGGCTGGAGAGGTGGCTGCTGGCAGCCTCAGTATTTCTTCTGCCTTGAGCCATGCAGCTCCTGCCCCCACATACAGGCCCCTCTGCTAAGGAAGGGCTTCCCAGGCACTAGTGGTAAAGAATCTGCTTGCAATGCGGAAAGCCCAGGTTTGACTCCTGGATGAGAAAGATCCCCTGGAAGAGGAAATGGCACCCCACTCCAGTATTCTTGCCTGGGAGATCCCATGGACAGAGGAGCCTGGCGGGCTACAGTCCAGGGGGTCACAAAGAGTCAGACACGACTGAGCGACTAAACACGCATGCACTGCCAAGGAAACGACCTGCAGTTAGCCAGAGCACCCTCCTTAGGAAGTCTCCTGTGACGGGTGCTGATGCCTGAGCGTGCCCCTTGGTGTCCCCTCCCCACCCAAAGCAGCTTATCCAAAGTTTCCGGGTACCTTGGCAGGGAGCTCCCCTCAAGCAGAGCTGCGGGTAAATATCGCTTTCTCCCTTTCTGTTCACTTCTAGGGACATCTTATAACTTAGCGCCCAGGGCCACTGCCAGTTGGCTGGACCCCTCATTGTGGCCTCTGTGCTCGGCTTCAGGCTGTTGCTAGGCAGCCCATGAGCATCACTGGTTAGGTCTCTCTGGGGCCACAGGGGCTGATCCTTTCCCCCAGAGCTGAACCCCATCACTCTCCCTGAGCAGACACTCTCCCTGGTGTCTTGTCTTAGGGATCAGTTTTCTTATCTGAGAAACGAATGGTTCCTGACATCCTCCACCATTTTGGCAATGCGCCTCTCTCTCGAGGACTCCGTTGAGTGACTATACACAAGCTCTGCCCCTCTCCAGCTTAAAGCAGGATAAGCCAAGCAGGCAGGAGAAAAACTCTGGGGTCAGATGGCTGAGTCCACATCCCAGCTCTGCCGCTCACTGGCTGTGTGACCTTGGGAAACTTACTTAACCTCTCTGTGCCTGTTTCCTTGCTGGAAAATGCAGACAAGTGTACTCATTTCAAAGATGATGTGAGTATAAAATAAATTAATACAGGTAAAGGTCTTAGAACAGGGCCAGGCACACAGCCTCCAGAAAACACAGCTATTATTATTACTAGAAATTTCCATGTATTCTCAATGATTGTGAGGTTCTTTCCCACAGGGCTTTAACTGATTCATCTAAATGCTATTGTTTTTATTATAAGGCACTTACAGAAAACAGCATGTTCTTCTTGTCCTGGTTGACAGCTCTGGGGTCCAGGATGGCATCCGTGTGCTTGGTCACAGATACAGATTCACCTGGATATGGAATTAGAAATGAGAAGCCCAGGACTTTCCTGGTGGTCCAGTGACTGAGACTCCACACTCCCCTTTGCAGGGTGCCTGGGTTCAGTCCCTGGTCGGGGTACTAGATCCCACGTGCTGCAACTAAAGATCAAAATCACAACTAAGACCTGGTGTAGACAAATACACACATACATAAATAAATATTTTTAAAAAGAAATGAGAAGCCCCGTGTGAAGTCCTCCCATCCCCTGGCCTCTGGGCCTCACCGGTCAGGATGGACTGGTCCACTCTCAGCGTGGTGGACTTGATGTCTATGAGACGGAGGTCGGCAGGCACTTTGTCTCCCACTGTGGAGGGAGAGCGGCTTGGCTGAGTGTGGCTCTGGGCACCCCTTCCCAGGAAAGCCAGCAGGGCTCCCGGAAGCCAAGGCCAGGGCTGGGAGGCAGGGTGAGCTGTCCCCTGGCTTACAGTCCCCTTATCCATCTGATGGGGTTCTGGCTAAAGAGCTGTAGAGGGATCCAACAGCCCCCCTCCACAACATACAGTCAGAAAGAGAAGGGTGGGCTCATTAGCGTCTCATAATGCAAGGAGAATACCCTGAAGCACCTGCCACTTCCACGATGTCTCCAGGGACGATGTCCCGGGCACGGATGCGTTGCACACCCTTGCGGTCCGCGCGTATCACCTTGCCCATCTCAGGTTCATACTCCTTGAGGGCCTCGATGGCACTCTCTGCGTTGCGTTCCTGCAGAGGCAGGAAGGCTGTCTATCCCTGCTGGCCCTAGCAGGCCACCCCCTTGGAAGAACACCCCTTGAGGCCTGGGATGGATCTGGAAGCAGAAGGACCTGCAGGGTTCCAGGACCAGGTGAAGGTGACACCGAGCAGTTGGGAGACCCCAGGACACAGCTCCACCCCCGAGTCTCCCACCTGCCACACGCCCACGATCGCATTGGCCACAAGGATCAGCATGATGACCAGGGGCTCCACGAAGGCTGTCGTGGTCTCCTCGCCTTCCTCAAACCAGGCCAGGACCTGTCAGGATCAGAGCTGGTGAGTGGCAGCTATGCCATGGGCCAGGGTCTGCCTGCCATTTCCTGTGTACACTGGGTCTCTCTGCTCTCGTTTGGGAGGAAGTACCCCTGGGGAGCCCTGGACTTGGAGAGGTCTGCTCACAGAAGGCCTTGGCTTGGTCACTACTCCCTCCAGGTAGTGACCGCCACAGCCCACGACCCACCCCACCCACTCTCAGGGTTGTGGGGCCACTGTTGGCCTGACTGTGGTTCTCCAAGTGTGGGGCCCAGACCAGCAGCAGCATCACCTGGGAACGTGTTAGAAATGCAAATTCCTGGGGTCCACCCCAGACCTACTGAGTCAGAAACTCTGGGGTGGACCCCAGCAGTCTGTTTGAAGCAGCCCAGGTGATCCTGCTGCAAATTCAGGTTCATGGCCCTTTGGTCAGAGGACCATGGTCGGAGGACCAGCCAGAGCCCAGGCCTGGAGGCGGGAGACCTGGTTCCAGTCTGTTCCCACCTCCTGGCCCAAGTGGGTACTTGTCATCTTCTCCAGGCCTCCACGTGTCCATCTGTTCTAAGGAGGGGGTACCAGAACCCTTTTGGCTTGGCTGTATTGGGCACTGGCCTGGATAGACTTTTCTAGTAGGAGTCCTCAATTTCCAAAGGACAGTGAGTGTCCAGGATGGTCAGACTTAGCGGGCTGGGCCCCTGCAGGCTGGAGGGCAGGGCTGGGAGCAGGAGTCACAACCACCCTCTGGACTCCATTTCCTGCATGACCCTTGGGTCTCTGCTGCTCAGCCACCAATGCCCCCCTCCCCACCACTCCACCCTGGGCCCATGGCCCTGCGGGTCCAGAAGGAGCCTAGGCATGGGGCATGGGGGGCAGCAATGGGGAGCAGCAGCCAGGAGGCAGCTGTGGGACGTTGAGGTCCAAAGTCTCTCTGAGGAGCCATGGAAGGTATTGCATACGCTCTCACCCCGGGGGATTCACCCCCCACATTCGGCAATATCCGTAGACATGACTATCACAACCATGGGGTGCTAATGGCATCTGGTGGGCAGAGGCCACAGTACAGTACACAGGATGGTCCCTGACACAGAGAATTGTCTGGTCCAAGAAGCCGATGTTGTTGCTGAGAAACCCTGCACTAAGGCAGGGAGGGGTGGGGTCAGGTGTGCTTTTGCAAGCTCACTCTGAAAGCCAGCGTGGAAGAGGGGCTGGAGGGGACAGATGAGAGCCTGGAGTCCACTGTGGGGGCTGCTAGAATTTGGGCAAGGGCAGGGGCTGGGCAAAGAACTGATGCTTTCAAACTGTGGTGCTAGAGAAGACTCTTGAGAGTCCTTTGGACTGCAAGGAGATCAAACCAGTCAATCCTAAAGGAAATGCTGAAGCTGAAGTTCCAATACTTTGGCCACCTGATTGGAAGAGCCGACTCATTGGAAAAGACCCTGATGCTGGGAAAGATTGAGGGCAGGAGAACGGGGTGACAGAGGATGAGATGGTTGGATGGTATCACCAACCCAATGGACATAAATTTGAGCAAACTCTGGGAGATATTATTGAAGGATAGGGAAGCCGGGCATGCTGCAGTTCATGGGGTCACAAACAATCAGACACAACTGAGCAAATGAACAACAAAGGGGATGAACAGGGGCCCAGGGATGCCCACCGCCGAGAGAACAGCCTGTGGCTCAGAGCCTGGGCCTCTGAGCACTTCCTGGACCCGCTCCCCGGCCCAGGCTGCCTGATGCCGTGGGAAAGGGCTACTTACGAAGGAGACCAGGGCGGCCAGCAGCAGGATTCGAACCAGGAGGTCCTCAAACTGTTCCAGCACGAGCTCCCACAGGGACTTCCCTGCGAACGGCAGCACCGCATGAGGGCTGGGATCCTGACCGACCGCGTCCATGCGGAGCTGCGGTGGCCCACTCCCTCCCTCCCATTTGAATGGGGAGAACCCGAGGCCCTGAGAGGCACAGAGGGGCAACGCTGCGGACTCAGCCATGCCCCACTCGCCTGGGAGGGGAGGACACCGCCTGATGGTGACTGGCCCGGGGTGTCATCTGGTGCCCTTGCAGGCCGCTCTGGCCCCCAGCCTCACCTTCCTCAGTCGGGAGTTCTGCAGGATCCAGGCAGCCACACGAGCCATGAGGAGACAAGAAATGACCGGGTTACCGAGCGGAGTCTAAGCAGTCCCTTCCCTGCGGTGCCCACCAGAACCCCCACGATGGGCAGGACACATTCCCCCCAGCTCTCTGAGGTCACAGAACATGTGGTTTGAGCCCGGATACTTTCACATCCCTCCCCCACCTGACTCTGGTTGAAGATGGCCTCCTGTGACCTGACTCATCCTGGGGCAAGAACCGAGCCAGGGCCCTCCAGACCATCCAGGCCAGTTCCTCCTCCATTGCACAGAGGGGAAATTGAGACCTGGAGGAGATGGGAACCCTGAGGTCACACAGGGAGTTGATAGTTCTCAGGGCTCCCTGCACTACCCTTTCTCAGATGCCCACCCAGTCCCGTTCAATGTCCCCCTACCCACGGTAGGGTGGCCCCTTCGTTCAAATTGAGAAAACTGGCTCAGGCCACCTCTGACACACCTGCTTCTCCAGGACCAAGGGGACAAGGCCCGCAGCACTGCCCACCCCACCCAGGGCTCCCTGGGCACAACCTCAGCAGCCAGCGCCCCGGGCTTCAGTTCCGGGAGGCTGACTGTCAGCTTGTCCCCTCCCAGGCCCTCTGCTCGGGCAGGCTCAGAGAGGACCCAGCCAGCCTGCCAAGGCCCAGACCCACAGAATATTTTGAAACCATGTCTCCAAACACCACAAGGACCTACTGTCCCCTTACAGGCTCCACTTTCATCTCCTTCAGGTCCTGAAGCACCCATGTTACAGGTGGAGCTGGCTGCCCTGGGAATCTTCCCAACAGCCTAAAGGGGAGGTGGGTGGGGATGCCAATCCCGTCTTGCAGGTGCAAGAACCGAGGTCCAGAGTGGATGCGTGGCTTGAACAAGGTCGCACAGCAAGCAAGGGTATTTGTGGGTCTGTGGGAAGGGGCCCTGGATGGTTTTCTCCCTCCTTCTGCTGATCTCAGGACCTGCCCAGGGCTGTCTGAGGGCTCTCTCAGATCGAGCCTAACTGACCCTGTCTCCTTTTGTCCTGTGCTATTCCCAGGACAGTCCCTGGGCCAGCAGCTTCAGGGTCACCCGGGAGCTTGTTAGCAATGCAGACCCCGAGGCCCCACCCCAGGCTGGCTCTTCCTCCTCCTCGCTGACATGGGTCCTTGCCTCTGCCCACCTGCTTTTAGCTTAAGCACCAGCCAGCACTTTTTCCCACGGGCGTCCCCTACCCTGACCACCTGTTTGGAAGGTCTGGGGTCTGCACCTGGCAGCTGAACCATGGGGAGTACTGAGCAGCCCACTGGGCCGCAGGAATCCAGGAGGAAAACATATAACCTAAAAATACACTTTCTAGCATTTTCTCCAAAGTCCTATTTTAGGCAACAGCTGACATTTTCCGTGGAAAATGTAATCTCCAGTGTCCTGCGTTGAGATTAAAATCAAACAGACTTTTTCCTTCTGATCTATTTAGCTAAAGCGAACAGGAAAGGCAGGAGGAGGGCCAGCCCTGGTTTCTGGGCCAATTCTCCAATGGAGCAGGGTCCTTTAGAGGTCATCTCAGCCATGCCCCAGCCTCAGAGCACATGTCTGCTTGGAGTTCCTCAACCCCTCAACCTCTGCAGGTGTCTTTAGGATTCCTGACCTCAACCCCTCAACCTCTGCAGGTGTCTTTAAGATTCCTGACCTAAGGAAGAGTTTGTCTGTAAGTCTCACCTGAGTCCCTCCCTCCGTCTACCTAGCCCCTCCCTCTGCTGGCGTGTAGCCTCGAGGCCACCATATTCCTCAGGGCATTTTTTCTGAATAGGGGTTAGGCCTGGGGTTGGGAGACCTGTTCAGGAACATAACAGCTCTAGCGAGTGAAGTTGTTCAGTCGTGTCCAACTTGGCGAGCCCATGGCCTATAGCTTACCAGGCTCCTCCATCCATGGAATTTTCCAGGCAAGAGTGGAAAATTGGAGTGGGTTGCCATTTCCTTCTCCAGGGGTTCTTCCTGACCCAGGGATCGAACCTGGGTCTCCCACATTGCAGGCAGACAGTTTACCATCTGAACATCTGGGAAGCAGCCACCAGCTCTACTCCCTACTGCAAACTGCCCTCCACTTGCTGGTCTCACCGGGTCTCCTCCCTCTCCCCTTCCACCTGACTGTCCCCTTCAGCTGACCCACAGCCCGATCCAAAGTCCACACTTGGTGGTCGTTATCATGCTATTCCCCCCGGGGCTTCTCATTCTCCCCACCTTGTGGACACACAGTAGGACTGCACGTCCCATCTTCCTGTTGGAGTTGCAAAAAGAAGGGTGTGTGTTAGTTTGGGCTGGAATGTAGAACTGTTGGAGAATGGCACCATCCAGTGGAGCTTCCTGCGGTGATGGAAGGGTCCTACAGCCATGCTGTCTGACACGGTGGCCACCAGCCACATAGGGCTATTGAGCACTGGGAATGTATCTCCTGTGACTAAGTAGCTACATTTTATTTCTTTATTATTATTTTAAAATATTTAATCATTTGGCTGTGCCAGGCCTTGGTGGCAGCGTGTGGGATCTTCCATCTTCACTGTGGCATGTGGAATCTAGTTCCTTGACAAGGGATCAAACTTGGGCCCCCTGCATTGGCAGCCAAGTCTTAAGCCACTGGACAGCCAGGAAAGTCCCAGTAGGTATATTTTAAATTAATTTTCATTCATTGAAACTCAAACAGCCACACAAGGCTAGTGGCTGCCCCACTGGACCGCACAGTCTGGAGCTCTCTGACCCTCTGCTCTAGCAACCAGCACCTCTGTGAGGGTACCTGCTCCGTGAACCTGAGTCAGAGTCAGGAGACACTCAGCTGCACGGAGGTGTGTGTGCACACTGTGAGCAAGAGATGACCTGGATTGTTTCAAGCCACTGAAATCTGGGGGTTGTAATGCAGGATAACCTGGCCGATCCTGACTGATACCCTCTTCTCCCTGGATCTGGCCTCTACCAGGGCAGAGCCAGGCATCGGCAGGCTCGGTAAACCATGAGGTCACTGCAGATGCCCCACCCATCCATGCAGGAGGGCCCGTCCCTGCTCCTGAAATGCACGGGCTTCCAGTCCTGCCTGAGCATCTGGCTCCCCGGGGCGCCCTGGGCCTCATTTGGAAGATGGAGTACCACCCCCTCCTTGCAGGCTGCTGTGTGAATAAGCATTATGATCATTACTGAGTCACAGTTATTAAGCACCTACTATATACCAAAGAACCTCCCAGATGGCACTAGTGATAAAGAATCCACTTGCTAATGCCCGAGAGGCAAGAGAGGTGGGTTCGATCTCTGGGGTCGGGAAGATCCCCTAAAGAAGGAAATGGCACCCTACTCCAGTATTCCTGCCTGGGAAATTCCATGGACAGAGGAGTCTGGCGGCCTACAGTCCATGGGGCCACAAAGAATCGGACACGGCTGAGCGACTGAGCACTCCTATACCACATGCCTACTTCATCTCCGGAGAGGAACGGCGGCACGGTGTGCGCCTAACACATGAGGAGGTGCTCCACAGACAGGATGATCGCCTTCTCGTGTGCACTGCTCTCGTGCGATTCTCAAACAAGCCAGGAAAGAGGATGTGATTATTATTCCCATTTTACAGAGCAGAAGCGCAGAGAGGCTGAGTGCCTACCTCACGGTCACACAGCTGGGAAGTGGCAGGGAAGGGTTTTGAGCTAGGGCAGTCTGGGTCTCGAACCCGTGCTCTGGACCTCTTGCACTCACTCCTAGACTGTCCTGACTTCCCATCCCAGTGGTCCCTGAGCCTCCCCCAGTCAAGATCACCGGAAGGATCATAATCTCCCATGTCCTGACTGTTGGGCTGGAAGCCATCATCAGCTGGCTCTTCCAAGGAGAATGCCCCATCTCTTGATGCCATCCACCAAGCCTCATGGGCCAGGACCGTAACAAGAGGTGTCACCCCTCCCAGACTCCCGCTGGGCCAATCTGGGGGCATATGACTCCCCCCAGTATTGCCTGAATCATTCATATGGTGGCCTCTCCTGACCAAACCCTACTCTGCGGAACTGTTGCCAGACTGAATCAGTCCCCGTCCACAGATATCCGATGCGGGGCTGTCCGATGCGGGGCTGGCCTGTAGCGTCCTGGAATGTGATCAGAGAAACTTGGCAGCTTAGAGCAGAGAATCTGGTCCAAGAACTGGAGTTCAAATCCTATTATCTTGGTAGTTCTGTGACCATGGGCAAGTCACTTTAAGCCTGGCTGTGCCTCAGTTTCCCTGTCTGGGAAATGAGGATAATAACAGCAACCACCTAATGAAGTTGCACAACATGTATGAAGCACAGCGCATGGTGAATGCTCAGCAAACCTTAGCCATGACAACAGTAAACAGAAGTTCCTGTATCCCTAGCACCTGGGACAGCACCTGGCACACAGTAGGCACTCAATAAAATGGAATGAATGAATGACCCTACCCTGCTCACTGATCTTCCATGGCTCTCCTGGGCCTATAAGATAAAGACCAACCTTCAAGACCTTCCTGGACTCACCGGTCCAGAATCACTCTCATATCTTAGATGGCCAGCCCTCCCTCCACCCGCCAAGCAAGATGCCTCAGGGTTGCCCCTGGTTTTGCCCTGCTCCAAGATTTTGCTTTCAGAGTCCCTTCTGTGCAGGGTACCTCCCCATTTCCTCATCGGAACTTCCAGGAGGGCTTCCTGGAAGAGTCCTTCTCTCACTGGTCATCAATGTTGCCTCCTGCTCCAGCACCGGCGTACCTCTAGGTACTCAGGCAGAGGCTGAGTCATCCCTAAGTCCACCCAGAGCCTCACAGAACTGTTTATTCACTTGCCCCACGGTTCAGCCCTGGGGGCACAGCCCAGAACCCAGGAGAAGGGAGGTGCAAAGCCAAGACTGCCCCCAAGCTCCACTCACCACCTGCTCCCTTAATCCACCCCTCAACTCCTTCCTCCGTTGGAAACTGGTATTTCGGCTTCTAAATGTTGGTTCTAGCCAGGTTCCAGCCGGGTGAAGTGAGTGCTCACCAAGGTCTTCCTTAAAGGTAAATTTGCAGAGCAATTAAACTCTCATTTGCAAAGTCAGGGAGAGGCCTTGCCTGGGCAGACCCCACCCCACCCGCCTGGCCTGTCCCTGGTCTCCAGGCCCCACCTGGAGTGGTCAGTCCTACCAGGCTGACCAGGCCCCAGAGGCGAAGTGTTGGCAAGGCAACTATGTACCCACGGTGCTGTGGGCACACCTGGCCATGCCTCAGAGAGCTGCTGGTACACGGGCTTGGGGTTCTACAGGGGCAGGGCTGGTGCAGAGGGGCGGGGTGATGTGCCAAGGCTGCCCAACAAAGGTGTGTGAACTAGGGTGAAGCCTGAAGGCTCTTCACACCTGTGAATCCCCTATAGGGGATCTCAGGGTCGTGTCTCTGCCCTACAGACAACATGGGGCCAAGGAAGTGGGTGCCTCGGCAGAGGGCAGGAGATAAGGTCACAGCCAAGTCACCACTGGCAGGAATCTAAATCAAGACCACCCCTCCCACGTGGCAGCCCTGGAGCTCCAGGACCCACTGCACAGATGGGCAGGCTGAGGCCCAGGAAGGCAGGCGCCTGCCCCCGTCACAGCCCCTCCACCAGCCCCCTTAAACCGAAACACTGCCCCTTCCTGGCAGAGACCTCCAGGGACCTCACCTGACCCCTACATCCCTGGGCTCTGGGGTAAGGGCACTTTGGAGGGTGATGGCCCAACCCAGTCCTGCCTCCTGCCGAGGCTCACGGGCAGCAGGAATGATAGGCAGCCCATCCATGGACACAAGGAGGGTCAAGGGCTCCTAAATATATACAGTAAAATGCCCGATAGGATTTGCAAACAGAAAAATGCAAAGGAAGACTGTGAGAGGCCACCTTCTATCAGATTGGCATCTGATAAGGTATTGTGTTGGCGGGGTGGTGGGGAAACAGGTAGGCCAACTGGTGCAACTTTATGAAGAACAGTGTAGCAACAGCTCTCAACATGGAAAATACACACTTCCTTGGACCCAGCAATTCCACTTCTAGGAATCTGTCCTTTGGTGATTTTCAGAGTGTGAAATGACATGAGGACAAGGATACACCTTATGTGTGTGATAACAGAGGCTTCGCACAAACCCTAAACCCATGAGAAGCCAGAGGGAAGAAACGCTGGAACGGCCATGTGAAGAAACTCTGCGAAGCCACTAGAAAGCCCAAGGATGCTCCACATGGAACCATCCACAAGAGTGATTGTCACAAGGAGAAGAGGGGCAAAAGGCCCTCAAAATCCACTCCCTTTCATGTAAAAAAAAGACCATCGATCACAGACCCAGAGGTGTGTGCGCACCGGATATCTTGGGAAGGAGACACTAGGGCTGCCGGGAGGGGTTTGTGGGGACAGGGCTGGGGAGCATTTACTCTACACCTTGGGGACTTTTTGCATGTGGCACTGTGTGCCCATTTTTATTCAAAAAATAAGTTGAGGGAATTCCCTGACAGTCCAGTGGTTAGGACTCCACACTCTCACTGCCCAAGGCCTGGGTTCAATCCTTGGTCAGGGAATTAAGATCCCACAAGCCATGGTCAGAAACAAACAAAACAAAAAAATCAGTTGAAAGCTTGTAGAAATCAACCCTGCACACCCCACCCTGGGCACCTCTGGGACCTGCCGAGAAAGATGGGCTCGCGAGAGGCCAGGAGCCTCCCACTTACTGCCCGGTCGAGGCCTCAGAGGGCATGGCTACATGCCGGGGTGCAGACAGATGGGGGGACAGTGAGGGTGTGGGGGAACAACTCCAGGCACACTCACTGACTGACGGCCCCCTCCCTGCTCAGAGGACGAGGAGAAGGACCCCGCGCCCTCCTCTGCCGGCAGAACTTGCGAACTTTAGGACTTAAGCAAATGACTTCCTTGTGGTTTCTAGCACTAACGACTTTGCAGGTGCATAGACTCCTGGGGTGGGGGGACACTAGTCCCTGGGGTGTCCCCTCCACCTGCATATCCCCCCCCGCCCCCCGCCAGCTTCTGGCCCAGAGCCACGCCAGGCTCCTCCCCTGCCACAATAAGGGAGGGCTCGGTGTACGCAAACACTCACAAATAACTCTGTGGCACAGGTCCTATCGTAGCCTCACTGACAGTGAGCAAATAGAGGCACAGAGAGGCAAAGCAGTTGGTCCAGGATTGCACAGCTATGAAGGGGCAGAGCAAGGGCCTGAAACCCTGTCAGCCTCACTCCACAGGCCACGTGGGGCACCCAGGCCTCCTCCTCAGGCCAGGGCTGGGAGGGGAGGAGACCCTGAGGCAGGAAGAGCTCCCTTCTCCTCATCTGAGGACTTCCAGAGCCCTGGAATGCTTCCTGAGGAAAAAGCCCTTGGAGGAGCAGCGGGGGGGTGGGGGGGGTGGGGGGGTGGTTGGTGCAGGGAAAAGGTGAGCAGAAGGTTCCACTAGCTCCTGTCCAGCTGACCCCAGCTCCGAGCACAGGCCCCTACTCCAGGGTCCCAGAGTCTGCAGAAACTGTGACCCCCTTGAACTGACAAGGAAAGCGAGACCCAGAGAGGGGCAGGCACCCAGGATTAGCTCCATTTACTAAGTGACCTTAGGTAACCTGTCTAACCTCCTGGTGCCTCAGTTACCCCATCTGTAAAATGGGGATGACAGCAGTTGTTTTTAGGAAGGAAAGAAGACAGATGAAAAGTGCTAAGACCAGTGCCTGGCACAGAGTAAATACTCAGTGAACATTAGCTTTTATTTTTACTACCATCAAAGCACAGTGAAACTGGAGGAGCCCAGGAAGAGCCGCTCCCCAACTTTTCCTACCACCCTCCCCAAAACGCACATCCACCTCTCTGGACTTACACACTGCACTGACACCCTTATCCATCACCGGCCAGGGCACCCTAAAATCCTCTCACCTAAACCAGACAACATGGGGGAGAACTAAGGCTCACTCGTCTCAGTCAGCTTCCCCTCTTCAGAGAGACATGGGGGCCAGAAAGGGCCAGAAAGGAGAAGGGTGTTGGCCAGGGTAAGGCAGGGCAACCTCTGTATGGTTCTGGAGAAGGGCTGGGCCTCCAGTTTCCTTTGGGAATCAGGACTCCCCAAGCGGGAGGCCACACAGAGGAGGCGGTGGAACCCCAGCTCTGCTGCCCGGACCGCCCCCCTCAACCCATGAGCTGGGGGACCAGCCCAGCTTGCCCTGCACTCCTCTGGCAAGGACACCCTGCCTGCCAAGTCACTAATGGGGGATATTAAACAATATTTATCTCCCTAGTTCCTCCCACAGCTCAACTAAATATAGCAGCTAATTTTTTTGAAAAAGGATTTCTGCTCCAGAAAGATAATATTTATATAAGAGGTGGTTGTCATAAACCAATACAAAACCCAAAGCTCCCTTTCTGACAGCTCTTTGCAATTTTCAAGCCAGCCCTGGGCAGTAAGACACACGGGCCAGAGAACCTTCCCTCTGGCTGGAGGGGAGCCCTACCAGGGTGAGTCCCCAAGATCAGAAAGATCTGCACCCTGGGGATGGAGATGACATTCCTCTCCGGACCCCTAGGGACCCCGAGCCCTAGGGGTGGACGAAGGGGGTAAAATCCTGCCTGGAAGTGACTTGGGGAGGGACCTCTGCATCTTCTACCTTCCCAGGGCCACGTCTGGAAAGTACAGGCACTGGCCAGCGCCTCCGGGCCGGGGGAGAATGCCACACGCCATTGAACACGAGAAAAGATGACACCTTGCTCTCCCAGACAGCAACAGCGCCCAAGGCTCCCTCCAGACCAGAGACGGGGCAGGCGTGGCTCCAGGTCACCCAGGAAGGAAAGGCCTCCCCAAGCAACTCCCACTGCGAGGCCTCAAACCTGCCACCCTGCAGGGAGGTGGGTCTCCCGCCTCAGCAGTTCAAAGCCCCCACCACCGACTCCCGCCAGCCACATCCGCCCAGGGTGGCAGAAAGAGGAAGACCTGGGGATGGGGGTGGGGGCACCCAAGCTGCCAGCTGACAAGCTGCACCTTCCGGGCGTTTTATTGAGCCCTCGAGGGAGACCCTCGGGGTTAGCTGGGAGGCAGGACCTCAGGGTCTCCGGCTGGTCCCCCTCCAGCTGACCTCGGCGTGCGCACCTGCCGGACGGACTCCGGCGGGCTGCGGCGGCGCGGGGATGCAGCGCGGAGCGGCGATGGAGGTGGGCGAGGACCTGCGGGAGTGGACCGCGACCGGGATGGAGGTGGGAAGCCCGGAAGGACCGCACAGGTCCCTGGGCCCCGAGGGAGGAGATCGGGGTGGGGGAGCCAGGCGTCAGGTCTCCGAACCCGGAACCCGCACCTCCTTCCCCGGCGAAGGTGCAGCGCGGCCCCGCCGGGAGCCCCAAAAGCGTCTGCAGAGGTTTCCGGAGCCCTCGCTTCCTGCCCGCCCGCCCGCGGGGGCCGATGGCTGGGAGGGGTGAGGACCGCTCCGCGGCCACCGTGCTGGGGTGGGTGGGAGGGGAGGGGGGGCGAGACCGCGGCGCGCCAGGCCCCCGCTGCCCCCGCCTGGTCCGCGCTCTCACCGTTAGGGCCGTAGCGCTCCCGCGCGCAGGTCACCTGCTCCGCGCTCAGGCCGCCCTCGGCCGTCACCGAGAAGCGGCGCAGCACGTCGGCGGCCGGGAGCAGGTGCGCCTCCTCCATGCCGCCCGCCCGGCCGTCTGCGCCGTCGGCACAGTGGGGGCCGCCTCTCTGAGGGGCTACTGCGCAGGGCGCTGGGGGCTCGGACCCCGACGGGCGCCGCGCGAGGCCATGACCGCGCTGGGACCTTCCCCGACGGCAGTGGCGGCGGCGGCCGGGCCCCCCGCCAGGATGCTGCGCCCCGGGCTCCCTCCCCGGGGCGGGGCGGCGCGGGGCCCGCCCCCGCACTCACACCCCTTCCGGCCGCCCTCGGAGCCCTCCGCCCCGCCCCCGCAGCGCCCCGGGGCGCGGAGGCTGGGCCACCCGCCCATTCTGCAGAAGGGGGAACTGAGGCCGCCCACGCGGAACGCGCAGAACTTGGGGGAGCCGAGGGCTCGAGGTCCGGAAAGGCCTCGGCCACTGGCCACAGAGCTCCGGGGTGGGGGTGGGGAACAGGGCAGGGAACTGGGGAGGGCTGCTGAGCTGAGCTGTCTCTGAGCTGCCTTCTCTTGAGCCCTCTTGGGTCCTGGGGGGTTGCAAGATGGGAGACGTCCATAGAGGAGTTTCCTACCCCCTTTCTCGAACTCTGCCAAGTGTGACCGTGGGTCCAGAGGGAACCTAAAAGCCTGTGAATAAGCAGGTCTCCGGAGCTGACGATGTTTCCTTCTTTTGATGTTGCAGTTCAGTTCAGTTCAGTCTCAATCCTGTGGAACTCTTTGCGACCCCATGGTTGCTGCACGCCCGGCTTCGCTGCCCATCACCAACTCCCAGAGCTTACTCAGACTTTTGATGTTTGTGCTTGCTTTATTGTTGTTCTAAAGTCCAGCGATGAGGTTATTCCTCAGACAACCAGAACCTCTAACAATGACCCAGGACAGATAGAGTAAACCAGTCTTGTTACCTTTGACTCACACCCTCACCCCAGTAGGAAACGTAACTGCCCGAGGTCTCCCTCCAGAAGTCTGACGGTGTGTGGGGTGTAGGCCTCTGACCAAGACCCTAGGGAGAGTGACTGTGGCCCAGGGCAGGGGAGGGTTTGAGGGACCCCCATTCCAGTGCTCTCTGAGCTCCAGTCTGTCCAGGGGTACCAGGAGGAGGGGCTATAGGTCAGGGAAGCAAATGCAGGAAGGCAGAAATCCCTCACAGCGCCAAAAGGAGGAGCAGAAGAGAGCAATCTGCTCCCACCGTCCTGCTTGAGAGACCCAGCCCCCACCACCATTACATACCCCCACCACGCTCGCCTGTGCTGCCCTGATTTCTGGGATCCACCTTGGCCGTACAAGGTCAGAGATTTGCAGACTGAGCCCACTTGGCTGGTTGTTCAGACTCCAGACCCCTCGTGTCTCTGCAGCCAGAAACCCTTCCGGGCTGCTGCAGCTGTCCACGCTTTCCCGAACACACAATCCCCAGCGTCCAGCCTGCCCAACCCCCGCGTTGCTGCCCCCTACTCAGTGTCCCCCCTGTTCCTGATCTCTTTCTCCCAGAATGGGGCCACGGTCCTCCTCCTCTGTCTCCCCTTTGCCTCGCCTCCTCAAATATAGAGACAATTAGCGAGGACTAGCTGGCAGCAAGGTCCAGCCCTTGGCTGCTTTTGACGGGTCACCCAGACTGTCTCCAGGGGCATCTGCTGGGGTTCAGCCTGCTGCCATTAAGGTAGGGCGATGCTAGTTTTCTGGCCGTGGCTCCTTGCAGCATTTTATTTATTTGTAATATTTTATTTTGTTGGCTGCGCTGCGTCTTATTTGTGGCTCATGGGATCTTTAGTTGCAACATTTGAATTCTAAGCTTCAGCATATGGGATCTAGTTCCCCAACCAGGGGTCGAACTCCCCTACATCGGGAGCGCAGAATCTTAGCCGCTGGACTGCCAGGAAAGTCCCACAGCTTGACATTTTACATCCCAAGTCTAATATTCCCTGCGTTTCTCCCTTTCTTCCTCCACCTCTGCGGTCCATAGAGACAGCCCTACCTATATCTCTAAGCTGTCAGGGAAAATGTTAGCCAGGGCTCCGTGGGGACAGAGCCCTACAGCTCTTCACTAGAGACCTCTCTCCCAGGGACATGAAGCCCTGGTCACAAAAGCAGCTGGCAGTCCCTCCCCTCCCGCACTTACACATCCTAGGGTCTGACTCCCCTTTGTCAACTGCAGGGACCTTAACACGAAGCCTCTCCCACTCCACCCCGCCCTCAGCTCTCAGCTGGTGTTTGCTGGAAGGAAGCGCCAGAAGGCTTGCCTGTTTGCTCTGGCAGCCTGGCCCACGTTCCCTTTCTCCAGCCCACCCCACCCCACCCTGCCTCTGAAGCCACCCCAGGCAGGGCCAGCAGCTGCCAGCAACTCTGGCCCCCCACCTGGCAGGTTCACACACCTGTCAGCATGCCCACCTGCTCTGCTGCCCCCGTGACAACTTCTGGGCACCCCTCCGCAGAATCCGCCACAGACTCACACAGCCATCTCACACCCCAGCTCCTTGCCCAGTTGCTGTGTGCCCCATTATACCCTCTGTCTTCACCTAGACCACCAGCTGGTGGCCAGGGGGACGTGGGCACAGGTACACTGTCCAAAGGGCTGGTCTGTCCTCCCCACCTCCCAGCTGCCAGATACTGAGAGCTCCCAGCCTGGCACCCCATCCCAGCGCTGTCTAAATCCCCCGCAGGACAGACGATGGCAGAGCTTACCACCTCTGTGGCAGGAGGTGTGCCTGCCAAGCTCACCTGAAGCAGGGGAAGGTGGACCATGGGGGAAAGGTAAGTCTTTGCCGCCGGATCTGGACACAGGAAGAAGAGGCTGTTGCAGACAGAAAAAACAACCTGCGTAGAAGATAGGAAACCTCAGTCGTGTGCTAGCAACAGTGACTCAGTCCCTCTGCCTGGAGGGATCATAAGGAACACGAGCAGGAGGGTCAGGAGAGTAGATCAGAGAGGCAGGGCTAGGACACCGAGAACCTTGATGGATCATTTAATGGCCTGACTTTTTAAGCAGTGAGGATTCCAGGTCACATTTGCCTTTAAGAATAGCTTCCCTCCCAGAAGCTGCTAAGACGGCAGGACTAAAGGGGAGCACAGAGGCTGAAAGGACCCCACATATATTCTGAAGAAAAAGGAGGAGGTATGGAATTCCCAGGTGGCTCAGTGGTAAAGAATCTGCCTGCCATGCAGGAGACACGGGTTCTATCCCTGGGTCCAGAAGATCTCCTGGAGAAGGAAATGGCAACCCACTCTAGGATTCTTGCCCGGACAGAGGAGCCTGGCGGGCTACAGACCATGGGGTCAAAAAGAGTCAGACAAGACTGAGCGACTGACCGTTCCACCTCCAAAGTCAAAATTCAGACCAAACGTCAGAGTGGGCTGCGATGGAAAGGACCTGGTTGTGGATTAGATTCCGGGATGAGAGAAAGTAAGGAATGACAGCTAACTCCCGGTGGGTGAGAGGTTTAGCCCTGAAGTCAGGGAGGAACGGAGGGGGGCGGGTGTTGAGGGGAAGACGAGGCTAGGAGTGCATCCGGGGCCACAGGAGTATGAGGGTCCTGCGGACCTGCAGGTGAAAGTGGAGTAGGCTTTCTCCAGCAGCTTCCCTCTCCCTGCGACTCGGCCCCTGCTCAGGCCCCACCTTCTCTCTCAAGCTTTGCAACAGCCTCCTTCCTGGCCTCCCTGCCTCCACACTTATCTCTGTTTATCAGGATTACCTGCCTGAGCTGGTGATTTCCTGACTTCATCCCTCTGCTCAAGAACCTTCCTTCGCTCCCCGTGACCCATGACCAGCAGGATAAAACCCAGACCCTTCAACCCAGGCATCACAGCCCTTTCTTTCCCATCTGGGTCCCACACATATCCCAGCAGACCGGTCTCCCCACAACTCTGCAAACCGGCCTTTCACATTCTAGCTTTAGCCCTTTGTCCAGGCTGTTCTCCGGCCTCACGTGCTCTCCAGCTCCGCTCCCTCAAGTGTTTCCCCGCTTTGGAAACTCAGTTCCTTGGCTGCCCCACCCTTATGCATTTATGCTTTTCCCTGCATGCTCTGACTCTGAAGGAGGCCCCGTAGATCAAGGTTTATCTCCCCATTGTGCACAAGGGGAAACTGAGGCCCAGGCAGAGGATGGGACTCAAACAGGCACATGGGCCAGGGAGGCCAAGGCGGAGCTTTGGCTGAAACTCCCAGGCCATGAGTCCTGTTCCTCCTCTATGGATGGCTTTCCTCAGCTGCGTTCAGCTGCTGAGCTGGGAAGAGCTCCTTCAAGCCCCCGGGAGTGAGCATGAGACAGCCTGGCCAATGGGGGCTCCACGCTGAAGCGGGGGGAGGGTCTCGAGCCCTAGTTCAAGGGACAGGTGCTAGGCCAGAGTTTGGGAGGGTTGGAGGCAGGAGGACTGGATTCCCACCCTGTTGTTGTCCCAGCTTCCCCTCCTCGCTCTCATTCTCTCCCTCCCTCCCTTCTTCCCTTCTTTATTTTTCCTTCTTCCCTTCCTTCCTTCCCAAATATTTATCAAGGACCCAGCATGCACCAGAAACGGTGCCAGACCCTGGGGAGAGGGTCCCTGTTCCCCTAAGTTCACCTGGAGAAGGGAACAAGTCATTCATCCCGAATGACCACACACAGAGACAGGCCGTGGGTTCCAGGGATGCCTTGAGGATATGGTGGGGAGGACAGGGAGATCAGAGGAGGTCTCCTGGGAGGAAGGGATGCTTCTGCTGAAATCTGAAGGAACAGAGGAGGGAAAGGTGTTCCAGGCCAAAGGAAAAAGTGAAAGCGTCTAGCTCTGGGACTGTAGCCCACCAGGCTCCTCTGTCCGTGGAATTCTCCAGGCAAGAACAATGGAATGGGCTGCCATTTCCTCCTGCAGGGGATCTTCCTGACCGGGGATCACACTCAGGTCTCCTGCATTGCAGGCAGGTTCTTTACCATCTGAGCCACCAGGGAACCCAAGGAAATGCCATGCAAAGCTGACTTGGCCGTAAGGCCTTGGAGGTGCCTGCCCATCTCAGGGCCTGAGTCCTCCTGTCTGTCCCATTAGTGCCAGCAGTGGAGAGGC